CTTTACCTTAGATATACAGTTAATGAATGACAGTGTGCTGGTACGGCTGTACCAGGAGCTCCAACTTCATTTTCTTTCTATTGAGTGTTTGCATGTATTCCAAGGTTCCATGCATTATGCAATAAGGTGGTTTCCCTTGCTCTGCAATTATAGGGACAATGACCCGTCAATCATCATTATGTTCTTTAGTTCCGCCCCTTTACCCAGGGCTCTGGGAGGGAAAAGAAAGACTTCACGCAGTCTTTCAGTTTGGAAGCCCAGTTACAGGACGTGAACTTTTCCCACCTGTAGAGAAGCTTCATTTCTCACAACATCCGGGGGAAATATCCGGGGGAAACAGCCCTAAAGCTTCTAAGGAAAACAGTTTTACAGAACAACCCATGTTGGGGTTAAAGATACAGATCCACATCATTCGTGGAGAAAATCCAAAAGGACTCCAGCTGGAAAATCTACAAAGCCTTGACTGGTAGGTCTACTCAGGACCCAAGAAGCAGTTTGGAGCTGGGAGCAGGACCCACACCAGCAAAGTTTAGAAAACAGATTGCCCGGGAAGGGTCAAAAAGGATTTTCTTTGTTAAAGAAAGAAATAGTTCTCCAACCAAGGTACGTGTCCTTTGGAGACAAGTTAAGAAGCATTTGTTTAATTTGTTGAAGATCTAAGAAGTATTTGTTTGTTGAAGATTTAAGTAATAATAAAGGACTTAGTTAAACCTTTCAAGCTTCTAAAGGCTCTGTATAGGAAATTCCTTAGGGCCTCTCAGCCAAGCACCCTGGCTTCCCCCTGGGCACAAAGAGCACGTCCTGTTCCAAAGCCAACTGCTATAGGCCCAGCGCGTGATAGCACCGACAGTGTAATTGCCTTTTGACACTATCAACTTGGAAAGATTGGGAGACTCAATTCCATCCCAAATAGTTGCTTTAAATCAAATTCTGGGACTGTGTTTCAATGGAAGTTTCTGGATACAACAGCAGTCCTTTTCAGTTTCTTCCGCTTTGATAAAACAACTTCTGCTTCTCTTCCTAAAAATCACACCTGGTTCCTCTTCGGCTGCTTCTTTAATGACTGAGGGCAAAAAGTCCCCAAAGTGGCTTTTTGGAGGAAGGATTTCTCCATTTCGGTGCAAGTTACAAGTCAAAGGTGGCTGTATTTATAAGGGGGGAAACCCTTTTAGTACTTACTTACTTAGGCAATCCCTTGTTGCTTCTGAAAAATCCTGCAAATCTCTTAGGAAGACAGGCGGACAAATGTCAGCGTTCTGGAAGAAGCAAATACCACTAGCATTGAAGCGATGGTCCTCCGCCATCAACTCCGCTGGACCGTCTACGTTGTCCGAATGCCCGACCACCTTCTCCCAAAGCAGTTGCTTTACTCCAAACTCAAGAATGGAAAAATGGAATGTTGGAAGACAGGAACAGAGATTTAAAGATGGGCTCAAAACCGTGGCATAGACACCGAAAACCAGGACGCCCTCGTCCTTGAGTGCTCTAGCTGGAGGTCAGCTGTGACTAGCAGTGCTATAGAATTTGAAGAGGCACGAATGGAGGGCAAAAGAGAGAAACGTGCCAAGAGGAAGGTGTGTCAAGCCAACCCCGACCAGGATGACTTTCCACCTGGAAACCGATGCGGGAGAAGATGCAGATCAAAAATAGGGCTCCCCAGTCACCTACGTACCCACCGCCAGGACACCGATCTTGGAAGACAATCTTACTCGGACAATGAGGGATTGCTTAAGGCATAAATCAGGAACAAACATATAAAACGTTTCTTCCCCTATAAACCATCAAGGACTTTAAGATCTTCCGGAGAGGCCCTGCTCTCAGTCCCACCACCTTTGCAGGCGCGTTTGGTGGGGACAAGAGACAGGGCCTTTTCTATGGTGCCCCCCAGCTATGGAATTCTCTCCCAATGAGATTAGGTCTGCCCCCTCTCTCCTGTCCTTCAGGAAGCATCTAAAATCCTGACTTTGGAGTCAGGCATTTGCAGATCAATGGATGATCTGATACAGACTAAGCGCTATCTGACCACAACGTTTTGGACTGAGTTGGATGTTGTTTTGAACGGGGATGAATTGTTTTATATGTATTTTAGAACTTATTTGTTTTATGACATTATTTATTGTATGTCATTGAATTTTGCTGTTAGCCGTTCTGAGTCCCTCAGATATAAAAGTTCTAAATAATAATAATAATAATAATAATAATTAACTGAACTCAAAAACCACCTGACGCATTGACACGAAATTTGGATACAAGACACTTAACAACCTGATGTATGTCCTTCACTCAAAACATTTGATTTTGTCATTTGGGAGTTGTAGTTGCTGGGATTTATAGTTCACTTACAATCAAAGAGTATTCTGAACCCCACCAACGATGGAATTGAACCAAACTTGGCACACAGTTCTCCCATGACCAACAGAAAATACTGGAAGGGTCTGGTGGGCAGTGTCCTTTGGTTTTGGAGTCGTAGTTCACCTACATCCAGAGATCACTGTGGACTCAAACAATCATGGATCTGGACCAAACTCTACACGAATACTCAATATGCCCAAATGTGAACACTGGTGGAGTTTGGGGAAAATAGAATCTTGACATTTGGGAGTTGTAGTTGCTGGGATTTATAGTTCACCTACAATCACAGAGCATTCTGAACCCCACCAATGGTAGAATTGGGCCAAACCTCCCACACAGAACCCCCATGTGGGCCACAGTAACGCGTGGCAGGGGATGGCTAGTATATTATAATTTAATACAATATAATACTAATATTAATACAATATAATCTATAGAAATAAAAATGTCATGTTCGTTTGTGGGATTAACATAACTCCAAAACCACTGGACGAATTGACACCAAATTTGGAAAAAACACACTTATCAGACCAATAAGTGACCATCACTCATAAAAACACTGGAAAACATGGTGGAAGGGACTTAATAAGCTCCCCAAAAGCAAAAAGACGCTACAGCGCATGTGCAAAAATGACTCCCCCCGGTTTCCATGGGACATACGTGGAACATACAGGGACATACAGACATGTGGAGATCCACATATTCAGCTCAAAATGCAATATTCCCACACCTGGAAATCTCATGTTTTTGTGTTTTATAGCAATTGCTTCCGCGTTTACAGGGAACGGTGTCTGGCCACCCTCCTGTTTCCTGTGAAAGCTCCTGGGATAAAGGTACTGTCTGGACGGGCCCTAAGTCTGAATGCACATTTGCATGTATTTGGAAATGTTGAAGAGGTGGTCACTGGAAGTGGGAGCCAATGAAAGGGCTCTGCATCCTTTCCCTCTCGGTTCCAATAGTTTGCATTGCCCTTCCAGGAATAGCTATTCCAGTTAATAACCCATCTGCTCTTTATATGGTGGATGTAGGATGTCTAGTTAGATGCTGAGCTTGTCAAACTTCTGTCTTTTGGGCACCTTTAACTCCAGCATCACCTAAACTTATAGATTCACTAGCCATCCCCTGCCACACGTTGCTGTGGCCCAGTCTAGTGAACTGGAAAATAAAGTAATGAGAAAGTGTTGGTTTCTAATATATGTAATTTCTTTATGCTTGTGGGTAAACAGTATTTCTTGCTGTTTTTTTTTTTTTTGTTTTTTTTTTTGTCAGTGTTGATGTGGAGATTGTCTGGTTTGCCCACCCTGGAACATGCAACATATCATTGTCCTTCTTTCGGGATCCCTTTCAAATCTATGATACTATATCTGTGTGTGCGAATCATATATATCTAAGTATCTATATCTATGGCTGGATGGCTCTTTGTCAGGAGGGCTTTGATTATGTTTTCTTGTCCTGGTGAAGAGAATTGGATTGGATGGCCTTAAGTATTTTCCGTTGGTAATGTGAGTTCTGTGTGGGAAGTTTGCCCCAATTCTGTCGTTGGTGGGGTTCAGAACACTCTTTGATTGTAGGTGAACTATAAATCCCAATAACTACAACTCCCAAATGTCAAGGTCTATTTCCCCCAAACTCCATTTGTGTTCATATTTAGGCACATTGAATATTTGTGCCAAGTTTGGTCCAGATCCATCATTGTTTGAGTCCACCGTGCTTTCTGGAGGTAGGTGAACTACAATTCCCAAACTCAAGCTCAATGCCCAACAAACCCTTCTGGTGTTTTCTGTTGGTCATGGGAGTCCTGTGTGCCATGTTTGGTTCAATGCCATCATTGGTGGAGTTCAGAATGCTCTTTGATTGTAGGTGAACTATAAATCCCAGCAACTACAACTCCCAAATGACAAAATCATTTTTTTTTAGTGATGGTCACTCCTTGGGTTAGTAGGTGTCTTGTGGCAAAATTGGGCAGCAATTAGTTCAGTGGTTTCTGAGTTATGTTAATCCCACAAACGAACATTACAGTTTTATTATATAGAATTATAGAATCATAGAGTTGGAAGACATCTCGTGGGCCATCCAGTCCAACTCCATTCGGGCAATAAGCAGGAAAATCACATTCAAGGCATCCCCAACAGATGGCCACCCAGCCTCTGCTTAAAAGCCTCCAAAAGCCTCTCCGGTGCAGAGAGTTCCACTGCTGAACAGCTCTCACAGTCAGGAAGTTCTTCCTCATGTTCAGATGGAATCTCCTTTCTTAAACTTAAACTGAGGTCAGTGTGCACATATTGATGTCATGATAAAATGATTTTGCATTTTATGTATTTTGCAATGCTTTTGTGTTATATTATTTGTATTGTATCGATGAACGTGGCCTCATGTAAGCCGCACCGTGTCCCCTTGGGGGAGATGGTGCAGGGTATAAATAAAGTATTATTATTATTATTATTATTATTATTATTATTATTATTATTATTATTATGGGACTAAACTGCCATCGATAGGCAATGGAAGAGGAACAGGTGGCCATTTCCCCCCCACAGTCAACAAAGAGCACCCTTATTTTTTCACCCAGGTGGGATGGACCACTAAGAAGTCAGGGGATCCTTCAGGTCCAATGAATGACTTATAAAAGTGCTAGGAATAAATGGTCATTTTTGTGGTTGTTTTAGATATATATATTTTTTAAAAATGTATGACAAATATTAAAACACCCCCATCCTATCGACATTTGAATCTGGTGCCTAATTGAAACAAGAGACTCCATGCCACATTCGTATGGAGCATGTGATTCTCTTCATCCAAAGACAGAAAGAAGAGGATGCCGATGCGCCTGCAAAAGAAAACACCATAAATGACCCAAGGCCAATTTGCTCATCGAGCAATGTGTGTTCCTTCTGTGATGTTCTGACCGAGTCGAGAAAGCCAGATACTTGGTGAGGGTGGGGAAAGGCCATTTTAGCACTCTGTTTCTGTGCCGGAGGCATTTTCTTTGTTCGTTTTGGGCTCTTCCGTCGCATTTCCGCAGGTGACCACGAGACTACTGACACTGCTGGCATGTCCCGGCCTAATTAGCTTGTCTTTAACGGACTTGGCTTTCCGTGAATGGCCATGTAAACTCTTTGAGCGGATGGACGGGAACTCATAAGTCCGGTCAGAGTTCACCAGAAGCTGGTCCTCTTTGTCCGTCCTCCTACTGACCGGCGAAGATGGGTGGGAGGCACTGAGGCCCACGACTTCACCACCGGCGTCACTGTCGTCCTCGGTGTCGGTCAGCATCGGTTTCCGCTCCGCTTGCATCTCCGCCTCGGACACGATGCCAGGGTATTCGGGAGGTGGCTCGTCCTCCAGCTTCTGCTGTAGCTCGTACTTCCATTCGGCCGTCCATTGCTCGACCGTGGCGGGGCACACCTGGTCCATGATGGTCTGGTACTCGTGGTCCACAATGGCCCAGTTGTTCACGCCTCCGACCATCTTCCCACCTTGTGCAAATATATAGCTCCTGGATTTCATCATGGTTGCCTGACAACCATCAAACGTTTCTGAAGGGCAGTACTTCATGGCTCGAGTTTTGTCCAAGGGGTAGGAGATGGTGGCTTCCAATTTGGTCCTCTCAAGGGCCATGCAAGCGTTCGGGAGGTCTGACCTCCTTCCGGACTGCCCACTTAAAGCACTATCTGTTTGGCTGAAGGTTTGGGATATGGTCCCTTCACTCTTGCTGTGGTCTGGCCTGTCTCCCATATGGAGTCCGCCAACGGTCTGTGCAACGTCTAAGGTGTGCCTGCCGTGGTCCAAAGCAGCCACTGCACTCAGGCTGGAAGTGGAGCGGAGACTTCCTTGGCGTTCCGGAGACAGGTGCAGCTTGGAGTCCGCTTTACGCAGCGCCATAGCCGGGGACATCGGGGCGGGGGGCAAGTCGTCGTAGACAAGCTCATCGCCGTGATACCGGAACATGCCGTAGCCGTCCGAACTGTTCACGCTGCTCTGACGGAGGAGGTAAGCCACGTCGCACTCGGAGGAGGCTCTGGAACGAGTGTGGGTCAGCTCGGCCTTGTCGATCCCGGCCAGTTTTTCCAAAGCGTTGGCCATTCGGCTGGAAAGCTCTTCCAACTGAGAAAGCCGGAGGTCGACTGTCTGCAGCGAGGCTTTCATGAAGTGCTCCCGTTCGTTCACTTCTTCTAATCTCATAGACATGTTCTCAACTCTACAGAATTCAAAAAGGAGAGAAAAGATGGGTTGAGCAATCTAGATCTGGTCTGTGAGGCATCTTCTGCACTGAAATGATCAGTCTGGAACAATAAGCAAAGAAGGACCCAATTAATCCTCTGTTTCTCCTCCCACTTTGTCTTAAGTTTACTTCAGTGATTACATTCAAAGACATAGTTCGTTAGGCATGGGCAATCCATGGTTCTAAATGGTTCTAGAGTACTTAGAAAACTAGAGGGCGCTGGTGCTTTGCTTCTAAAGTGTTGCTAAAGTTCTGGTGGTGAAAATTTCAGAACTCTAATAAAACTTTCAAAATTCAGTTTTCAAAGAGATCTTGAGACTAACGATGATAAATGTTATTGTGTTGTTGAAGACTTTTGTGGCTGGAATCACTGGGTTGCTGTGAGTTTTCCGGGCTATCTGGCAATGTTCCAGAAGCATTGTCTCCTGATGTTTCACCCACATCTATGGCAGGCATCCTCAGAGGTTGAGGGGTCTGTTGGAAATCAGGCAAGTGAGGTTTCCACAGATATATAAACCCTTTGAGGATGCCTGCCATAGATGTGGGTGAAACATCAGGAGAGAATTCTTCAGGAACATGGTCATGGAGCCCGGAAAACTCACGGCAACCCATAAATATTATTACTATTATTATTTATTCTTATCTGGCTTTCCTCTCAGAGTTAAGACTTAAAGTGGCCTTTGCAGACCAAAGTCTACTGGATCAGATTGCTCTTATCTTGGGGCTTCTGTTTCCCTGTTTCCCACTCACTGCCAATGGGAAAAAACCCAGAAAAATAATTTAATCCAATACCTTTCAGAAGTAACTCGGATCCGTTCATCATTGGAAGACTGTTCTTCATCCTCTTTTTCACGGAAATATTCTTCAACACATTGTTCCTCAAACTCATACAGCTTTTTCAACTCTTCATCATTTAGAAACAGCTCTGTAAGTAAAGAGGGGAGGGATGTGTTCATGTATTGTCTTTTCATACTCAAATCTAGACTTTTGAAGAATTTCCTGCTCTCTTGTTTGCCCATATCACTTAAGACAGTGGTTCTCAACCTGGGGGTTGTGACCCCTTGGGGGGTTGTGAGGGGATGCTAGAGGGGTTACCAAAGACCATCAGAAAACACAGTATTTCCTGTTGGTCATGGGAGTTATGTGTGGGAAGTTTGGCTTAATTATCTCGTTGGTGGGGTTCAGAATCCTCTTTGATTGTAAGTGAACTTTAAATCCCAGCAACTCCAACTCTCAAATGTCAAGGTCTATTTTCCCCAAATTCTACCAGTGTTCACATTTGGGCATATTGAGTATTCGTGCCAAGTTTGGTCCAGAATCATCACTATTCAAGGTGCAGGTCATGACCTATAAAGCCCTAAATGTTTCGGGCCCCGCCTATTTCCACGATCGCATCTCCTTCTGTGATGTTCTGACCAAGTTGAGAAAGCCAGCGTAAAATCTAAGATCTTCCGGGGAAGCCCTCCTTTCGCTCTCACCACCCTCACAGGTATGGTTGGTGGGGATGAGAGAGAGGGCCTTCTCAGTGGTGGCCCCCCACCTCTGGAATGCCCTCCCCAAGGAAATTAGACAGGCCCCATCCCTGCCCTCCTTTCGTAAGAACTTGAAGACCTGGTGGTTTCAACAAGCTTTTGAGAATGACTAGGTCTAGCTCAGCCCTAGACATTGTTGAATATGGCCTTATTATCCCTACCAATTACCCAGGTCACTCCTCTAATACGTCCTGGAAATGAACAGCCATAAACCCGTAACTATTATTGTTGTTGCGTGCTATAGCACTGCACTTAATTCCCGGGGCTCCTAGAATTTTTGAGTTTGCACTAATCTCGGCCCAACCTTTTAAATTGCCTTGAACAGGCAGGATTACTTTTAATATATATGTGAAATGGCAACAATTTTTATGCTTATATTGTTTTGTTAATCTTATGGTTATTTAGTTTACTCTGTATGTATTGATGATGTTACTTGGAAACTGCTCTGAGTCCCCCCGGGGAGATAGAGCAGTATTATATTATTATTATTATTATTATTATTATTATTATTATTATTACTATTATTATTATTCGAGTCCACAGTGCTCTCTGGGTGTAGGTGAACTACAACCCCCAAACTCAAGATCAGTGCTTACCAGAACCAGTATTTTCTGTTGGTCATTGGAGTTTTGTGTGCCAAGTTTGGTTCAATTTCATTGTTGGTAGAGTTCGGAATTCTCTCTGATTGTAGGTTAACTATAAATCCCAGCAACTGCAGCTTCCAAATGACAACATCAATCCCCCCAACCCCAACAGTCTTCAAATTTGGGCATATCAGGTATTTGTGCCAAATTTGGTCCAGTGAATGAAAATACATCTTTCATATCAGATATTTATATTATGACTAGCTGTCCCCTGCCACGCCTTGCTGTGGCCCAGTCTGTTGATCTGGAAAATAAAGTAATGAGAAAGTGTTGGTTTCTAATATATGCGATATCCTTATGCTTGTGGGTAAACAGTATTTCTTGTTGTTTCTTTGTCAGTGTTGATGTGGAGAGTGTCTGGTTTGCCTACTCTGGAACATGCAACATATCATTGTCCTTCTTTAAGGGTCCCTTTCAAATCTATGATACTATATCTCTCTGTGTGTGAATCATATCTATCTATCTATCTATCTATCTATCTATCTATCTATATCCATGTCAGAAGGACTTTGATTAAATTTTCTTACCCTGACTTGGATTGGATGGCTTTAAGTATTTTCTGTTGGTCATGGGGGTTCTGTGTCAGAAGTTTGCCCCGATTCTGTTGTTCGTGCGGTTCAGAATGCTCTTTGATTGTAGGTGAACTGTGAATCCCAGTGACTACAACTCCCAAAAGTCAAGGTTTATTTCCCCCAAACTCCATCTGTGTTCGTATTTGGGCGTATTGAGTGCTTGTGCCAAGTTTGGTCCAGATACATCATTGTTTGAGTCCACAGTGCTCCCTGGATGTAGGTGAACTGCAACTCCCAAACTCAAGGTCAATGCCCACCAAACCCTTCCAGTATTTTCTGTTGGTCATGGAAGTTCTGTGTGCCAAGTTGGTTCAATTCCATCGCTGGTGGGGTTCGGAATGCTCTTTGATTTTAGGTGAACTATAAATCCCAGCCATTACAACTCCTAAATTACAAAATCATAATTTTTTGAGTGATGGTCACTCCTTGTGTTGTGAGATGTTTTGTTGCCAAATTTGGTGTGATTTCGTTCGTTGGTTCTTTTGTTTTTAAGGTACTCATTATGCACAGAGCATTTATATATACATAGATTCATACCTGTAGCAAAAGTATAGTTATGAAGTAGCAACAAAAGTAATGTTATGGTTGGGGGTCGGCACAGCGTGAGGAACTGTATTAAGGGGCTGCGGCATTAGGAAGGTTGACTTGAGACAAGCACAAAATTGGATGCTAATTCTTGAAACACCTGAGATTTGACTTCAAGCTCGAGTACTTCTTACTTGGGATTACAGATTTTGAAATGAACAAGAACACAAATAAGATATTCTTCAATGTATCTAATAACGGCAGCCAGAATAACACTGGCACAAATATGGAAAAACACCAAAAATACCCACGATAGAAAAATGGATTCTGAAAGTGATGGACCTCCTCATAAATATGGACCTCCTCACCCCAAAACTTGCACAGAACAACATACAACACCAGGAAACAGACTGGGGGGAAATTATGGAATTTCTTAAAAAAAGGAATACAGAGGAATTTATATAAAGGAATATTAAAAGAAACTCAAAGGACAAGATGAAAAATAAGAAATCAATGCTATACAAACAAAAAAGATTTAAAGACAAAAATAGAACTTTGGCAAAACTAAACCTCACATCACAAGAAGTGACCATCAATCAAAAATTTATGATTTTGTCATTTGGGAGTTGTAGTTGTTGGGATTTATCGTTCACCTATAATCAAAGAGCACTCTGAACTCCACCAACAATCGAATTGAACCAAACTTGGCACACTGGACTCCCCTGACCAACAGAAAACACTAGAAGGGTTTGGTGGGCATTGACCTTGTGTTTGGGAGTTGTAGTTCACTTACATCCTGAAAGCACTGTGGACTCAAACAATGATGGATCTGAACCAAACTTGGCACAAATACTCAATATGCCCAAATATGAGCACAGATGGAGTTTGGGGAAATAGACCTTGACATTTGGGAGTTGTAGTTACTGGGATTTATAGTTCACTTACAATCAAAGCGCATTCTGAACCCCACAAACGACAGAATTGGGGCAAATTTCCCACACAGAACCCCCATGGCCATCCAGTCCAACTCCCTTCATCAGAGCAAAAAAACGTAATCAACGCCCTCCTGACAAAGAGCCATCCAGCCACAGATATAGAGAGATAGATATGATTCACACACACAGATATAGTACCATAGATTTGAAAGGGACCCCTAAACAAGGGCAATTATGTGTTGCGTGTTCCAGAGGAGGCAAACATCAACACTGGCAAATAAACAGCAAGAAATACTGTTTAGAAACCAACACTTTCTCATTACTTTATATTCCAGATCACCAGACTGGGCCACAGCAACGCGTGGCAGGAGGGCAGCTAGTAATACTGTAATTATATATTTTATATTAAATGTAATATTACTAATAGCATTACAGTATAATGTTATAGCACAATGTAACATATAATATTAATATTGTGCTATGATAATAATATAATATATTGCATTTACTTTTTACTTGTAAGCCGCTCTAAGTCCCCTTTGGGGTTTTTTTGTTGTTGTTGTGTCAGGAGCAACTGCTCCTGTTGTGAGAGAATTGGCCGTCTGCAAGGATGTTGCCCAGGGGACGCCTGGATGATTTTTGGTGTTTTATCATCCTTGTGGGAGGTTTCTCTCATGTCCCCGCATGAGGAGCTGGAGCTGATAGAGGGAGCTCATCCGCCTCTCCCCGGATTCGAACCTGCGACCTGTCGGTCTTCAGTCCTGCTGGCACAATGCTTTAACCCACTGCGCCACCGGGGGTGAGAAGTGTTGTAAATAAATAAACTCATAGTGAAAACTACCCTTCGTTTTACCCTTTTTTCTATTTCTTTTTTTCCTTTCTTTCTTCCTTTCTCTTTTTTTCTTTTTCTTCTTTATCCCCTCTTATGCCCCACTTTTTTCTATTAAGTTTCAAACTTTTCTTTGAATTTAATATTCTCCCACTTTCAAAATCGACTTTTTATTTTAAGCTTAATTTTCGATAAAGATCATTTTTTAAAAAAAAACCACCTGTTTCTTTTCTAAACAAAGCTTTGGGCAGTGAAGGTACTTTTTACAAAAGATTTTTATGCTTCCCTTTCTAAGTTCTTCCTCACATTCAGAAGCATCCCTGCAAGTAAAAGCAGAGCTTGACAGGGGCAGGGAGAGAGGTTTGCCCCAGCCCAACCTGCCCCTTGCTCTGCTTTCTTTCTACTTGCAGGGAGCTCTTTGTGGAGGACCACAACTGAACTCTTCTTTCTCCAAAAGGACACTCTACCCGGCCGCCCCCCTTACACCGCTCTCCCTTCTCGTTCGTACTCAGCCCTCGGTCGCGTTCGTCTTGCTCCCCTTCCCTTTGCTTCTTGCAGCGGCAGCAGAGGCGGACCATGATGATGTAAATGTGGCTGAAGATGATCATGGGAGGAGGAAGCACCGGCCGGTCGTGGAAGGTCATGATCAGCTGGTACCGCTGGAATTTCCAGACCTGGTTGGAGATGGACTTCACTTCAAAGAAGGTGTTGCTGCAAGAGACATCAGTACGTGGGGAAAAGAGCTCAGAGTCCTTGTGGACAACAAGTTAAACATGAGCCAACAATGTCATGCGGCAGTAAAAAAAGCCAATGGGATGTTGGCCTGCATCAATAGGAGCCTGGCATCCGCTGGGAAGTGGCAGCCAATAGTGAAAGGACCAAGGCAGAGACATCTCCAGCTCATCCCTTGTTTGGGTATCAGCCAGCACATCAACGACTTAAATCAAGAAATAGTTTTCTTAGATCTACAGAGACACTTGCTGGAACACCTCAGCAAGCAAGAATTCAAAAGTGGCAGGCTCAAACTCAGCACCTCAATCCGTGGGTGATACCAGATGAGAGACTCCCCCCCTGAGCACACAGAAGACTTGGAAGGCGCTGCACAGGCTGCACTCTGGCACCACGAGATGCAGAGCCAATCTTAAGAAATGGGGCCACAAAGTGGAATCCACGACATGCGAGTGTGGAGAAGAGCAAACCACTGACCACCTGCTGCAATGCAACCTGAGCCCTGCCACATGCACGATGGAGGACCTTCTTGCGGCAACATCAGAAGCACTCCAAGTGGCCAGATACTGGTCAAAGGACATTTAATCAGCTACCAAGTTTGCAAAATTTGTGGGGGGTTTTTTTCTGTTTGTTTGTTTTGTTCTGTTAGAAATGTAATACAATGTTCTGGTTGCGGATGACACGATAAATAAATAAATAAATAAATAGGAGTTTAGTGTCTAGATCCAGGGAAGCCTCTATTCTGCCTTGCTCAGACCACATCTGAATCACACTATGTCCAATTCTGGGCGCTGCAATTGAGGGGAGATGTTGACTCTAAGCTAGAAAGCTTGGATTGGATGGCCCTGGAAGGTCTCTTCTGATGTGCAATTCTATGAACAATATTGGCATGTAGAATCATAGAATCCTAGAGTTGATGGAAACCTTCCCACCGGAGTGGAAATCATCTATCAGACAGATGGCAAGCTGTTTAACCTCAGCAGACTGAAAGCCAAAACCAAGGTTACAACAACATCTGTTATAGAGCTCCAGTATGCTGGTGACAATGTTGTTTGTGCGCATTCAGAAGAAGATCTACAAGCCACTCTAAACACCTTCGCAGAAGCATACGAGAAGCTCGGCCTGTCATTTAACATCAAGATAACCATTATTTACATTATTTTACTCTATTATATCTCTTATTACTACATTTCCATAACAATAATAAAGTAAAATAATAAATGTAATAATACTAATAGAGTAAAATTATAAATGTATTACAAATAATAATAATAACAGAGTAAAATAATGAACAACCTTGACTCGAGTATAAGCCGAGGGGGACTTTTTCAGCCTAAAAAAGAGCTGAAAAACTAGGCTTATACTCGAGTATATACAGTAATAAGCGACACAACAATATAAAATCAAGTATTAAAAACAGAGAAGATTTCAATGGGCAGGGCCGGATTCAAGGATAAAATTTTAAAACACTGGGGGACAGGACAATGTAAATTATCAGGAGGAGGATCTGGGAATGAGGAAGGATTTAATTGCACGAACCATAAAATAAAGTGCTTCTAAGGACATTTTGTGCAAAGTTTTGTCCGGGAGTATCTTGCATTTAATCACTGAAGGCACATTGTAATAACCAGGTTTTCAAATTCCTCCTGAAGATTGCCAGTGTGGGGGCTTGCCTAATATCTCTGGGGAGCGAATTCCAGAGCCGGGGGTCACCACAGAGAAGACCCTTTCTCTCGTCCCCACAAGTCACACTTGCAATGCAGGCAGGAGCGAGAGAAGAGCCTCTCCAGAAGATCATAGAGATCCTGTGGGTTCGTAGATGGAAATGTGGTCGTGCAGGTAGGTGGGTCCCAAACCGTTCAGGGCTTTGTAGGTCAAAACCTGCACCTTGAATTGGGCCCGGAAAATAAACGGCCGCCAGTGGAGCTCCTTAAACAGGAAGGTTCACCGCTCTCTGGAATTCCCACCAGTTAATAATCTGGCTGCCGCCCGTTGGACCAATTGGAATTTCCGGGCCATCTTCAAGGGCAGCCCTATGGAGAGCGCATTGCAATAGTCCAATCTAGAGATAACAAAGGCGTGGCCAAATCCGACCTCATGAGGTACGGTCACAGCTGGCGCATGAGCTTCAATTGTGCAAATGCCCCCCCAGCCACCGCTGATGCCTGAGCTTCAAGCGTCAGCGCTGAATCTAGGAGGACACCGAAGTTTATTGTTGTTGTTGTTGATATTATTCAAAGCACCCACAACAGATGGCCATCCAGCCTCTGTTTCAAAGCTTCTAAAGAAGGAGCCTCCACCACACTCTAGGGCAGAGAGAGAGCCGCATCGAATCCCTTGGGAGATGCTAGCGGGGTACAAATAAAGTTATAATAATAATAATATAGCTCTCTCACACAGTCAGGAAATTCTTCCTCATGTTCAGGTGGAATCTCCTTATAGTTTGAAGCCATTGTTTTGCATCCTGCTCTCCAGGGCAGCAGAAAACAGGCATGCTCCCTCCTCCCTATGACTTTCCCTCACATATTTATCCATGGCCCTCCTCTCAACCTTCTCTTCTGCAGGCAAACCATGCCCAGCTCTTTTAAGCCGCTCCTCATAGGGCTTGTTCTCCAGATCCTTGATCATTTTAGTCACCCTCCTCTGGACACATTCCAGCTTGTCAACATCTCCCCTCAATTGTGGTGCCCAAATGTGGCCTAACCAAGGCAGAATAGAGCATGGGGAGCATGACTTCCACGGATCTAGACACTATTATCCTATTGATGCAGGCCAAAATCCTATTGGCTTTTTTTGCGGCCACATGACACTGTTGACTCATGTTCCCCTTCCTGGATGCCAGATCTCTTCTGGATGAAGGTGGGGAACAGCAATGGGATTTCACTTTGCAAGAAAAACACTCATTTCAAGACACTGGGCAAGAAAGACACTCACTTGAAGACAGCGATCAGCAGGTTGACCAGCAAGATGTTGGCGACCAAGAGGTAACAAGCCATGATGGCCGGAGTCAGCCAGGCACCCGGGATGCAAGGAGGAAGCCGTTTGCCATCTTCGTCATAAAGGTTGTCCCCACATGGAGCTGTGCACGAATTGGGATCAGTTTTACAACCAACAAGACAGGCAGTTCTTAGTATATTAGGGGAATGCAGATGAGATGGGAGATGCGATAGGACTCAAAAGCCATGTTTAGATCCCACATCCCACCTGGAAACTTAGGAATACAGCTACCGTTAAGACCACTGGACCCTGGTCTATCTCAGTATCATCTCTGGCCAGCAGCCATGGCTCTCTCCAAAATGTGAGGCGTAACTCTGGCATGGTTTTCTTTGAAGATCCCTTGTGGTCTCCATCCAGGGATGACTTGGGCTTGACCCTGCTTAGCTTCCAAACTAGACATGACTGGATGGGTTCAAAGGGCTGTGATGAAAACCTTGCCTGGGTTTCTGGTATCTGAACCTACCCAAGTAGGCATGGGCAAACTTTGGCCCTCCAGGTGTTTTGGACTTCAACTCCCACAATTCCTAACAGCTGGCCCATGCCTGAGATAGATCATAAACCAGGGAGAGAGATAATAAAGTCTCTCATATATATATATATATATAAAACTATATATATATCGTAAACTATATCTTTCTCTCCCTACTCTATCTCTATTTATCTAGTCAATTTATCATTCTTTCTCTCTATTTATCTAATCTCTACATCTGTCTATCTGGTCTATATCTCTCTTGTTCTGGCATGGGCAAACTTTGGCCCTTCAGGTGTTTTGGACTTCAACTCCCACAATTCCCTACAGCCTACTAGTTGGCCCATGCCTGAGATAAATCATAGACTAGGGAGAGAACGAGATAATACAGTCATTCATACACACACACACACACATACACTAGCTGTACCCGCCATGTGTTGCTGTGGCCAATCTTCCTTTTTCTCTCCTCCTTTCTCTCCTTCCTTCCTTCCCTCATTCCTTCCTTCCCTTTTTTCTTTGCTTCTCTCCTTCCTTCCTTCCTTCCTTCCTTCCTTCCTTCCTTCCTTCCTTCCTTCCTTCCTTCCTTCCTTCCTTCTCTTCCTTTTCCCTTCCTTCCCCCCTTTTCTTTCCATTCCCCTTTCTCCCCTTTCTTCCTTCTCTACCTATTCTTGGACTGCAGCTCCCAGCAGTCCTCCTGATTTATATTTCTACCTACCTACCTACCTACCTACCTACCTACCTACCTACTTATCTCTATCTAATCTATCTATCTGGAAGATTGCTGGGGGTCCAAGGAGAAGAAAGCTTGCATCCTGGAAGTAGTGCATTTGGATCACCCTCCTCTTTCAAAGGGCCTGGTCTAGGGGATGCTGGGAGCTGTAGTCCGGAAGAGAGTGTGGATATGCTATTGTGTGTTTTGTTTGCTGGAGGAGTCGTTGTTGCGCATGCGCTGTAGCGTCTTTTTGCTTTTTTGGATTTTAAGTCCCTTCCACTGTGTTTTTCAGTATTTTTGGGAGTGATGGTCACTCATTGGCCTGATAGGTATGTTGTATCCAAATTTGGTGTCAATTCAGTTGAGTTATGTTAATCCCACAAACGAACATTACATTTTTATTTATATAGATTATTATAAGTGTCTTATTTTAACTAACTTCATAGAGTGCAATCAAGTCTTATCAAGCCTTGTTGTTGTGTTTGATATTGTGATATGGCCGAAGGGCTAATCAATAAAATTACTACTTGTGTCATTGCTGAATGTGGTGAGCAGAGGTAGAACCGGCATAGGTTATGAGAGAGGTCGACGCACACTGCAGTGGAGCATAACATGGTTGAGACTTCAGTGGTGTCTCAGGTGGTCATCAGGAATGTGGGGAAGAGCAAACCCCAGACCACCTACTGCAATGCAACCTGGGAGTCGTAATCGAAAACATCTGGAGGGTCAAGAACTGGATTGACCCAGGTCCTCGACTGAAGGTTGGCCACCAATTTCCAGCCCTGTGCCCCTCCAGTGTTTCATAACAACATCCCAATGCCACATGCACAATGGAGGACCTTCTTGCAGCAACACGAGATGCCTCCAAGTGGCCAGCATCTGGTCAAACGACATTTAATAGAAGGTTAAAGAAGATGTGCATAAACCCCGCGGGGATCAGTGACGGAAGCCAAGGTGGTGGGTAGCACCAGGGGCAAGTTGAGAGGTAACTGTATTGTGGATGGCGGGTTGTCTACATATGTGTATGTGTATGTGTATGTGTATGTGTATGTGTATATGTCTGCAATATATATGGTTGGTGTATTATCTTTTTGAAATAAAATATTAAAAAAGGATACTTAATAAAATACCAAGTCTGCAAACTTTGTGTTTTGTTTTGTTTGTTTGTTTGTTTGTTTTTAATGCAATACAACTGTTTTGGTTCACTCCTGACACAATAAATAAATCAGAAATACCAAGGTTCACTACCTAACAGAAGTGTTTGGGCAACCCGTGCAATTGTACTCCCACATTGTTGAAAATATGAAAATATGTCTCCATTGCAAAGTATTCTCAGCTTGGAAAAAGCACTTTCCAACTAGGATTTCCAGAATCTTCCAAACTGGCTTAGCCACAGGACTGTATAAGTCAGGGGTCCTCAAACTTTTTATACAGAGGGCCAGGCCACAGCCCCTTAAACTGTTGGAGGGCTGGATTATAATTTGGGAAAAAAATGAATGAATTCCTATGCACATTGCACATATCTTATTTGTAGTGCAAAACACACTTTAAAACAATACAATAATTAAAATGAAGAACCATTTTAACAAATATAAACTTATTAGTGTTTCAATGGGAAGTGTGGGCCGGCTTTTGGCTAATGAGATAACAACAACAACAACAACAACAACAACAACAATCTTTATTTATACCCCGCCACCATCTCCCCAATGGGGACTCGGAGCGGCTTACATGAGGCCAAGCCCAAATGACAATTACAATAAAGAAAAACCAAAACACAAACCAAAAACGCAAACAATAAACATCATAGTTACATAAAACATATGAATACATAACAAAATAAAAATTACAATATACACAGGCACAGTAATAATGGGCGGGCTACAGGTAATGATCAAAAGACAAACTGATTAAAACTAATTAAAAAGGAAGTGGCCCCCAAATGCATGTCCCAAATGCATGTCCCAAATGCATGTCCAAGGGCATAGGAGATAGGATTGTTGTTGTTGTTGTTGTGTGCTTTCAAGTCATTTCAGACGTAGGTTGACCCTCAATGAGGGCTGGTAAATGACCTTGGAGGGCCGTATTTGGCCCCCGGGCCATAGTTTGAGGTCCCCTGGTATAAGTTCTCAGCTAGATGGTTCTGAGTTGAACTAAATTAGGGTTTTTGGTGGCAAAGGCAAGGGATACCTTTGGTTTGAGGCAGAGACAACAATAACACAATTCAATGGAAAGGGGAGGAAATCATCGTTCACAAACATTTAATTAATTTGTCAACTCCCTGCAGAGACTTACGATTAATTTCCATGGCATAGACTGCAAAGCATTCCGAAAGCATAGGAGAAGAGAGAAACATATTAAAAAGGGGGGCAGAGGTTGGAGAGAAAGCTGGCATATAGTGCCTCGGCTGCCAGAAAAAGATAAGACCCCCAAATATTATAACAGGCAAGATACACGCTCTGGAACAATGGCTCCGTCAGGATTCCTGAATGGCCTGCCGTTTCCTCTTTCTCTCATCGTCTTTCCGAAACATTATGTACGGCGGCGAAATACAAAAGGCAAGCTGGCAGATGATCAGGCAAAATATCCGAGTAATTTCAAGTATGTATGAGTGACGCAGGATGAGTCTAAACACAAGTACAAAACACCACAAAGGACATTGCATGAGATGGAGGGACTCACTGGTCCTAGGAAAAAGCAGATCTATGCCTCCTGGGTCTCACAGAAGGTCTTCATAGAGCAGGCATGGACAAACTTTGGCCCTCTAGATGTTTTGGATTATGATTTCCACAATTCCTAACAGCCTACCGGCTGTTAGGAATTGTGGGAGTCATAATCCAAAACATCTGGAGGGCCAAAGTTTGCCCATGCATGTTATAGAAGGTCAAAAACTGGATTGGCCCAGTCTTGGACTGAAGATTGGCCACCTATTTCCAGCTCTATGCCCCTCCAGTGTTTCACAACAACACCCCAATGCCAAGTCCTTCCAATTTGTAAACAAATCTTTCCCCAGGCAATTGTAGCCTTGACCCAAAACACTCAAATGGCTCACAAACATAGTAATATGCAGTGGGTTAAAAACTGCGGACCGAAGACCGACAGGTCGCAGGTTCGAATCCGGGGAGAGGCGGATGACCTCCCTCTATCAGCTCCAGCTCCTCATGCGGGGACATGAGAGAAGCCTCCCTCAAGGATGATAAAAACATCAAATCATCCGGGCGTCGCCTGAGCAAACGTCCTTGCAGACGGCCAATTCTCTCACACCAGAAGCGACTTGCAGTTTCTCAAGTCGCTCCTGACACGACAAAAAAATAAAACCTACTGTGCCACCTGGGGCTCTTATTGTTATTACTATTTATTATTTTACTCCTTACTATTATTATTAAATTTATTATTTTACTCTATTATTATTTTTACATTTATTTTTACTCTATTATTATTATTATTATTATTACACATATTATTTTACTCTATTATTACTGTTATTACATTTCCATTACTTTACCTTAGTATTATTATTATTATTGCATGTATTATTTTACTTTATTATTATTGTAAGGATATGTAAGCACATTTACATTGAAGCAGGTTAGAATAAGGGTTTAATCAGAGTTGGACAGTTTTACCTTAAATTACAGTTTTACTCTATTTTACTCTTTTTATTATTACAATTCCATTATTTTACTCCTTATTTTTTATATTTATTATTTTTGTTATTATTGATATGATTACATTTACGTTATTTTACTCTATTTTACTCTATTATTATTATTACATTTCTTATTTCACTTTATTATTGTTATTATTATATTTATTATTTTACTTTATTATTACTGTTGTTATTACATTCCTATTATTTTACTCTATCATTATTTTTATTACATGTATTATTTTACTCTATTATTATTGGAAGGATATGCAAGCACATTTACATTGAAGCAGGTTAGAATAAGGGTTTAATCAGAGTTGGGCAGTCTTACCTTAAATTACAGTTTTATGTAAATACTAGCCATCCCCTGCCACACGTTGCCGTGGCCCAGTCTGTGTATATATGCTTTGTGTGTGTATATATTTCTCTATATGTGGTTTTGCGCATGTGTTGTAATATAATTTTTGTTTTTTGGCTTTTTACATTCCTTCCGCTGTATTTTTCAGTGTTTTTATGAATGATGGTCACTCGTTGGCCTGATAGGTGTATTGTGTCCAAATTTGGTGTCCATTCGTCCAGTGTTTTTTGAGTTCTGTTAATCCCACAAACGAACATTACATTTTTATTTATATAGATTTACCAGTAGCTGCTGCATTTCCCGCCCTCGGCTTTTACTCGAGTCAATACATTTTCCCAGCTTTTTGTGCTAAGATTAGATACCTCGGCTTATATTCGGATCGGCTTATACTCGAGTATATAGGAACTCGCTTCCCAGCGAAATTAGGTCGGCTTCATCCCTCCTGCCTCTCAGGAAGAAACTGAAATCGTGGTTCTGGGACCAGGCTTTTGGACAACAGGCATAATAGCACTTTGGATGCGCAATTGGACTGGGATGGCTATATGGTTGACAAATACTTTTAATTGCTTTTAATTAATTAATTAATTAATTGTTTTAAACTGTTGTTACATTGTTGTCATTAAACTGTTGTTACATTGTTACCCTTACAAATTTGTGAACATCCTGCGGCTCTTCCATGATGACATGATGACAACAGTCTTGGACAGCAATGGCTCCCAAAGTGACCTATTTAAGGTGGAATCAGGTGTCAAATAGGGATGTGTTTCTGGAAAACGGAATGTTGATGGACAGGAAAAGAGATTGAAAGATGGGCTCAAAGCCAACCTTAAAAACTCCAGCATAGACACTGAGAACTGGGAAGCCCTGGCCCTTGAGCGCTCCAGCTAGAGCTCAGCTGTGACCAGCAGTGCTGCAGAATTTGAAGAGGCACGAATGGAGGGCAAAAAAGAGAAACGTGCCAAGAGGAAGGCACGTCAAGCCAACCCTGACTGGGACCGCCTTCCACCTGGAAACCTCTGCCCTCACTGCAGGAGAAGATGCAGGTCAAGAATAGGGCCCCACAGTCACCTACGGACCCACCAGAACACTGATGCTGGAAGACTATCCTACTCGGCCAATGAGGGATCGCCTAAGTAAAGTAAGTAAAGTAAATATATTGTTGTATTTGCTTGTATGCTTCGGTATCGAATTGCTGCCAAGTGTGAGCCATCCTGAGTTCCCCTTCGGGGGTTGAGAAGGACAGGGTAGAAATGCTGGAAATAAATAAATAAATAAATAAATAAATAGGTGAACTATATATCCCAGCAACTACAACTCCCAAATGTGATAGAGTTATATGTAGCACAAGTTGTAATGGAAATTTAAAAATAATGATAAGAAATATGATCAAAGAAGTTTTTGATGTTTATTTACTGTTAGATTGTATATAATATGACATACTATTTTGTATAAGATACTGTAAAAAGAAAGAAGAATGTATGTTTATACATTTTGTTGAATAAATTTATAAATAAAATTTAAAAAATGTAAAAAAAAAAACCAACAACTCCCAAATATAAAGGGCTATTTTTTTCCAAACTCCACCAGTGTTCACATTTCAGCATATCATTGTTTGAGTCCACAGTGCTCTCTGAATGCAAGCGAACTACAACTCTGAAACCGAAGCATACAAGCCCACCAAACCGTTCCAGTATTGGTTGGTCATGGGAGTTGTGTGCCAAGCTTGGTTCAATTCCATCATTGGTGGTGTTCTGAATGCTCTTTGATTGGAGGTGAACTATAAATCCCAGCAACTACAACTCCCAAATGTCAAGGTCTATTTTCCCCAAATTCCACCAGTGTTCACATTTGAGCATATTTAGTATTCATGCCAAGTTTGGTCCAGATCCATCATTGTTTGGGTCCACAGTGCTCTCTGGATGTAGGTGAACTACAACTCCAAAACTCAGTATTTCTGTTGGTCTTGGGAGTTGTGTGCCAAGCTTGGATCAATTCCATCATTGGTGGTGTTCCGAATGCTCTTTGATTGGAGGGGAACTACAAATCCAGCAACAACAACTCCCAAAAACAAAATCAATCCCCACCAGTATTCAAATTTGGGCGTATGGAGTGTTTTTGCCAAATGTGTTCCAGTAAATGAAAATACATCCTGCATATCAGATATTTACATGACTATTCATAACAGTAGCAAAATGACAGTTATGGAAGTAGCAACGAAAATAATCTTATGGTTGGGGGTCACCACAACATGAGGAACTGCATGAAGGGGTTGCAGCATTAGGAAGGTTTAGAAATACTTCTTTAGCCAAACTACAACTCCTGCGATTCCATAGTATTGAGCTACTGCGTTTCAAGTGGTGCCAAACTACATCAATTCTACAGTATAGAAACCCTTTGTTTCAATGCTCTGGTTGTACTAAAAGAAGACAAACCAAATGCTTTGAAGCTTCTGGAGATCAGGAATATTTGCTTAAAGAAAATTATTATAAGTTAATATGGAAATGGTACCTAACACCAATAAGAATAGCAAATATTTTTTATTTAAAAAGTATTCAAAAAAATGCTGGAGAGGATGTCAAGGATCAGGAACATATACACATATGTGGTGGCAATGTAAATATGTAAATACCATATATACTCAAGTATAAGCCGACTCGAATATAAGCCGAGGCACCTCATTTTACAACAAAAAACTGGGAAAACAGATTGACTTGAGTATAAGCCGAGGGTGGGAAATGCAGCAGCTACTGGTAAATTCCAAAATAAAAATAGATACCAATAAAATTGCATTAATTGAGGCATCGGTAAATTAAATGTTTTCGAATAAATAAGATAAGACTGTCCTCTGATTAAAGAATTATTCTAACCTTCTTCAGTAAAAAATGTGTTTACACATCCTTCCAATAATAATAGAGTTAAATAACAAATATAATAATAATAGAGTAAAATAATGGAAATGTAATAATAACAGTAATAATAGAGTAAATAATAAATGTAATAATAATAATAGAGTAAAATGATTAATATAATAATAACAATAATAAAGAATAAAATAATAAATATAATAATAATAGAGTAAAATGATTAATGTAAAATAATAATAATAATAATAATAATAGAGTAAAATAACAAAAAACCTTGACTCGTGTATAAGACGAGGGAGACTTTTTCAGCCTAAAAAAAGGACTGAAAAACTAGACTTATACTTGAGTATATACAGTAATTTTGGGGGGAAAGTATTTAGAGAAATAGAAGATATAATGAACATTAAAACAGAAAGAAGTCCTAGTATAGCTTTATTATCATTATATAATAATGATATAATAATAAACAATTGAAAAAAGAGGATAGAGATGCGATAACAAATTTATTAACAATAGCATGACTGCTTATAGCAAGGAACTGGAAAAAAGAAATAAATATATAAATAGAGGAGTGGTACAAGGAAGTATGGAAATTGGCAATAAATGATAAGCTGACGTGTATATTAAAAGTTAAAAGAGGCATATGGAAACAAAGTGATTTTGATGATGTATGGAGAAAAGTTATTGAAAAAAGATTAAAAAATAAAGAAGGAAAGTTACCTCCACAAGAAGAATTGAAATTTTGGACAGATGATATGTAAAAGCTGTGGCTTGGGAGTGGGGGAGGGGAGCACAGTGATGAGGGATAGATAATATGTATAAGCAGAAAAATATCAGTAGATGCCAAAAGTTAAAAGTATGGTAGGTTGTATTGAATTATACCTGCTGTAAAACAAACAATGTATAACAAATGCATTGAATCATGATAAAATAATAGGAATATTTGCTTAGAAGAGTGACCGAATTTCACATGTTCTTCTGTTTTTGGTGTGTTTTTCCTTTGCCCCCCCCCCCCAAAGAACCACACGGCTTTTTCCTAAAGCATTGCCATCGTGGAGGAAGATGACCCAGCTTGCCACAAAGACACAAACGAGGCTACGAGAATAACGCCGTTTCCAAATTAAAGCAAGGGGAGGTCGATTAATTTGGATGTGATCATCTGCCTCCGAAACAGGAAACCGAATCTTACTATGAACTCTGCTCTTACGGTCTATCTGGTCAGCAAACACCTCTCCGTAGATCATCCAGTAAGGCATGTAGAAGATGTTGCGGGCCAGGCGCCAAGAGGGCTCCTCGTCGGGGTGAAGGATGGCCTGCCGGGCGACTCCAAAGCTCATCAGGACCACCAGCATAATCACCACGAAGTACAGCATATCGATCATCTGCGGGGAGAAAACCAACAACCTTTTCCCTTATTTATTTATTTATTTATTCACAACATTTATATGCCACCCTTCTCACCCCAAAGGGGACTCAGAGTGGCTTACAAGGAAAAAGTAAATACAACATATTATTACCATAGCACAATATTAATATTATATATTACATTGTAATATAATTATATTATAATATAATTATAATTATATTATATTAATATTATATATTACATTGTAATATAATTGTAATATTATATATTACATTGTGGAGCCTTCTAATCAAAGTGAAAGAAGAAAGCGCAAAAGCCGGGTTGCAGCTAAACATCAAAAAAACCAAGATTATGGCAACAAGAATGATTGACAACTGAAAATAGAGGGAGAAAATGTGGAGGCTGTGACAGGGTTTGTATTTCTAGGGGCAAAGATTACTGCAGATGCAGACTGTGGCCAGGAAATCAGAAGACGCTTACTTCTTGGGAGAAGCAATGTCCAGTCTCGATAAAATAGTAAAGAGTAGAGACATCAGACTGGCAACAAAGATCCGCCTAGTCAAAGCCATGGTATTCCCTGTAGTCACCTACGGATGTGAGAGCTGGACCTTAGGGAAGGCTGAGCGAAGGAAGATGATGCTTTTGAGCTGTGGTGTTGGAGGAAAGTTCTGAGAGTGCCTTGGACTGCGAGAAGATCCAACCAGTCCATCCTCCAGGAAATAAAGCCCGGCTGCTCATTGGAGGGAAGGAGACTAGAGACAAAGTTGAAGTACTTTGGCCACATCATGAGGAGACAGCAAAGCCTAGAGAAGACAATGATGCTGGGGAAAGTGGAAGGCAAAAGGAAGAGGGGCCGACCAAGGGCAAGATGGATGGATGGGATCCTTGAAGGGACTGGACTGACCTTGAAGGAGCTGGGGGTGGTGACGGCCGACAGGGAGCTCTGGCGTGGGCTGGTCCATGAGGTCACGAAGAGTCGGAGACGACTGAACGAATGAACAACATAACAATAAACAGTGTAAAACAGTATAAAACAAAGATAATCTATATAAATAAAAATGTAATGTTCGTTTGTGGGATTGACAGAACACAAAAACCAGTGGGCCAATTGACACCAAATTTGGACAGCATACACCTAACAACCCAATGTATGTCCTTCACTAAAAAAATTGATTTTGTCATTTGGAAGTTGTCGTTGCTGCGATTTATAGTTCACCTACAATCAAAGAGCATTCTGAACCACCAATTATGGCATTAAACCAAACGTGGCACACAGGACTCCCATGATCAACAGAAAACACTAGAAGGGTTTGTTGGGCATTGACCTTGAGTTTGGGAGTTGTAGTTCACCTCCATCCCGAGAGCACTTTGGACTCAAACAATGATGGATCAGGACCAAACTTGGCACAAATATTCCATATGCCCAAATATGAATACAGATGGAGTTTGGGGAAAATAGACCTTGACATTTGGGATTTGTAGTTACTGGGATTTATAGTTCTATAATCAAAGAGCATTCTAAATCCCACAAACGACAGAATTGGAGCAAATTTCCCACACAGAAACCCCATGACCAACAGAAAATACTTAAGGCCATCCAGTCCAACTCCTTCACCAGGTCAAGAAAATGTAATCAGAGCCCTCCTGACAAAGAGCCATCCAGCCATAAATATAGATAGATATGATTCACACATAGAGATCATAGATTTGAAAGGGACCCCTAAAGAAGGACAATGATATGTTGCATGTTCCAGAGTAGGCAAACCAGACAATCTCTATGTCGACACTGACAAGGAAACAAAAAGGAATACTGTTGACCCACAAGCATAAAGAAATTACATATATTAGAAATCAACACTTTCTCATTACTGTATTTTCCAGATCACCAGACTGGGCGACAGCAACGCGTGGCAGGGGACGGCTAGTTTAAAATATATAATTATACTTCCATTCTACACCTTTTCAAAAATGCAAACTATCTCTCCTGGTTTTCGCAGAGCTACGTACCATCTTTCCAATCATCATGACGTAGGGTCCCAAATACTTATTCACGCCAAAGATGTCCAGGACTCGGATGTACCAGAAGATGATGTCCACACAGTAGATGACTCTCCCGTATCCCATGTAAGGCTGGTTCTGCAAGCGAAGGATGGCCCCGATGATGAACACGGAAATGGCCACCAGGTCAGTGATGTTCCAATATTCCTGCAGCCACACTTTGATTTTCTGGCTAAGTTTACCAGGTTCTGACATCAGGATCTGAAAACAAGGCAATGGGGAGACAGAACAGGAGGAGGAGGAGAAACAGAAAAAGAGAGTATCTGTGAATCCTGGAATCCTAGAGTTGGAAGAGACCTCATGGGCCATCCAGTCCAACCCCCTGCCAAGAAGCAGGAATATTGCATTCAAATCACCCCTGACAGATGGCCATCCAGCCTCTGTTTAAAAGCTTCCAAAGAAGGAGCCTCCACCACACTCCGGGGCAGAGAGTTCCACTGCTGAACGGCTCTCACAGTCAGGAAGTTCTTCCTCATGTTCAGATGGAATCTCCTCTCCTGTAGTTTGAAGCCATTGTTCCATTGCGTCCTAGTCTCCAGGGAAGCAGAGAACAAGCTTGCTCCCTCCTCCCTGTGGCTTCCTCTCACATATTTATACATGGCTCTCATATCTCCTCTCAGCCTTTTCTTCTTCAGGCTAAACATGCCCTGCTCTTAAGTCACAGGGCTTGTTCTCCAGACCCTTGATACAATGTCTTAGCAAGAAAGAGAACTTTGAAGAACTTTGTGTCAGAAATATTGAAAATTAACTATATATCTATATAAATAAAAATGTAAAGTTCATTTGTGATATTAACAGAACTCAAAAACCACTGGGGGAATTGACACCAAATTTGGACAGAACACAGCATTCAGAGCAATCTATGTCCTGCACTCAAAAAAATTTCTCCCAAAAAACAGTAAGACCTTAAATTTTAAAAGAGAACACTGCGCAGGCGTCCAAACCCATTCTCTCCCTCCCCCCACCCCTGCCGCGCGAGCACAGCCAGCGTGAAAGGCACCAATGGCATGCCCAACCGGCAAAAAGGCAAGAAGGCGCTCCGCAGCCATGGCAGAGACCAGGYGRGGTGCTGGGTGCCTGCTCCATGCCTGGCTCTGAGGATCCTTCCTCCCAGCGCCCAGGCAAGAGGTCAAGAAGGGAAGGAAGGGAAGCGGCAGAGAAGAATGGAGAGAGAGAAAGAGGGAGGGAAAGAAAGCAGGAAAGAGAGAAGGAGGGATGGAAGCAAAGAGCAAAGGAAGGAAAGGGAGAGAAGGAAGAAAGGAGAGAAAAGAAAAGAGAAGGGGGGAAGGAGGGGGAGGAAAGAGAGAAGGAAAGGAAAAAAGGAAGGAATGAAGGAAAGAGGGAGAGAAGAAAGGAAGGCGAGAGAGAAAGAGGGATGGAAGGTTGGCCACAGCCCCTACTAACCCAAGGAGTGACCATCACTCAAAAAAATTAAGTTTGTTATTTGGGAGTTGTAGTTCCTGGGATTTATAGCTCACCTACAATGCTGGGGCATTCTGGGAGCTGTAGTTTTCTAGTACGCTGGGTATAAAATTAAAATAATAATAAAATTAAAAACTACAGCTCCCAGAATGCCTCAGAGAGCCCATCCCAGGCACGCCACAGCCCTTGGGGGTCTCTCTCTCTCTCTTGCTCCTCCTCACCGGTAGAGCCTTTTGGTGTGGAGGCCCGTGGGCTCCCCTCCTCCTCTGCCGCTTCCTCCTCCTCCGCTGCCTTGGCTCACAGTGGCCTCCCGGGTGGGCTCCCCGTCCTTCCTCCCTTCCTGACTGCCATTTATTTATTTATTTACAGTATTTATATACCGCTTTTCTCCCTTGTTGGCGCATGGGCCCCTGGACTGCTTCCCGCACTGCCTCCGGAAGAGCCTCCTGCATTGCTCAGGCCGGTCTCCTTCTTCCTGGCCCCAGCCCCACTCCACCACCATTGCGCCTCTGCCTCCCATCCCCACCAAGCCTCGCAAGAAGTGCCTCTTCTCCCGCGAGACAATGCCTATTTTGTGTTTAAAAGCTGGTGTCATCTTATAGCCCCAGTCGCCTTGTATTCTGGAATATACGGTACATCCAATTGATCTCCAAATGTGATCTTTACTGGCAATGTGGACTGAGGGATGAAGCCATAAGGAAAGTGTTGCCTTCCCCCAAGAAGAATTCTGCTGTTCCTAAATGAAAATTTCCTTCTGCTTTGTCTGTCCTCCATAAATATTTTCCTTTATGGATCCCAATAGAACCTGCTGTGTCTCCCCAAGAGTCTGGCTTTTTGTATGACAAATCACTTTGGGAGGGACAAAGGCTGGTTGAGGGTAGAAGAGGGATGGAAAGAAATTTTGAAGGCGCTTGATATCCTCAAAGGAGGTACCCCTGTTGATGAAGCCAAGCACTGCTATGATTGTGAACTCACCTCTCTCACTTTCTCTAAAGCCAAGGTCACAATGTAGGAGATGACAATCCATTCTTGGAGCGACGGCCACCGGTCCATCCGCACCAGGATGATATAGTTGAACATCATTAAGTAGCCCAGGTATGCAATCTGGGGGAATGCCAGAAGAGATGTTACACCAGATTTCAAGTGTTCATGAAATGCTTGCATGGGTAGATACATTTGATCATGACCGTTACAAAAGTGACACTTCCAAAACTTGGAAAAATAACTCTTGCAGACTATAACTCTCATAATTTCAGTGTGACCTACGGGTTTCTAGTGTTGCACCTTAGCAAGAGTTCACCTTGTTCACAGCACTCACCAAGAAACCAAACATGGTAATGAACAGTTTATTGATAAAAACACATAAAAAGGGCCAAAGGCTCCTTAAGCAAATAGAAGGGTAAAAGTTCAAGAGTCAATGAAAAAAGCAAGCCCTAAAGGCAATAGGTAAATCCAAAAAACAAGGGTTAAAACATGAACATGAATCCAGGAAACAAGGAGCAAAACATGGGCACGAATCCAAAGAAAAATCTATAAAACAAGGAACAAAACATAAGCAAAATCTTGAGTCTTGAACTAAGGCATGGACTAGGAATGAGACAGGAGTTCCTCACTCCAGTGGTGACATTCCTTGACCTAAAATCCTAACAGCTCTCTCCCTAATTTAAGGACTGCAAAACATGAATGCATTCCTTTGACCTTGAGAGGCCTGCTTCTGCCTCTCTTTCTCACGGATTTTCCTGCACCTGAATCTCTGCCCCCTCAGAAGCCTGGTATCTCTGTCTAAGCCAGCTGCTTCCTCGGATGAGCTAATGTTATCCTCCCCTCCCCGCCTGTTGGCTTCCAAAACAGTTCCACTTTCACACTCTGTCTCAGCAGCAGCATCTTGCTCCTAAACCCCCTCTGTTCTCTCAGCTACAGAATAGGTTGGGTTGATCCCCCGCCCCAAAAAAGGTTTAAAACTCGTTTCGAATGTAGTGGTTCAATTCTAAAGTCAATTTTGATTTTCACAGAATTTTTTTTCAAAACTTTTCTAAACTTCTGAGAAAGTGTTATTTCCTGTTTCAATGGGTGGTCTTTACTTTGAAAGTAGTTGTTTTACTCCAGAAGTGGGGAATAGCAAGTGGAGGGAATTCCTTCCTTCTCTGGTTTAAAACTGGCTTCTTTGGCTTGAGCTGAAGCCAGGGACCAGAAGCGGGGGGGGGGGGGGGGGGGGGGGAAAGCAAGTGGAGGAAATTCCTTCCTTCTCTGGTTTAAAACTGGCTTCTCTGGCTTGAGCTGAGGCCAGGGACCAGAAGCGGGGGGAAAGCAAGCAAAGGAAATTCCTTCCTTCTCTGGTTTAAAACTGGCTTCTCTGGCTTGAGCTGAGGCCAGGGACCAGAAGCGGGGGGAAAGCAAGCAAAGGAAATTCCTTCCTTCTCTGGTTTAAAACTGGCTTCTCTGGCTTGAGCTGAGGCCAGGGACCAGAAGCGGGGGGAAAGCAAGCAAAGGGAATTCCTTCCTTCTCTGGTTTAAAACTGACTTTAGCTGAGGCCAGGAAATTCCTTCCTTCTCTGCGTTAGAACTAGCTTTTCTGGCTTTAAAACTGGCTTCTCTGGCTGGAGCCGAGGTCAGGGAATTCCTTCCTTTTCTGGTTTAAAACTGGCTTCTCTGGCTGGAGCGAGGTCAGGAAATTCCTTCCTTCTCTGGTTTAAAACTGGCTTCTCTGGCTTGAGCCGTGGCCAGGAAATTCCTTCCTTCTCTGGCTTTAAAACTGGCTTCTCTGACTTGAGCTGAGGTCAGGAATTCCTTCTTTCTCTGGTTTAAAACTCGCTTCTCTGGCTTGAGCCGTGGCCAAGAAATTCCTTCCTTCTCTGGTTTAAAACTGGCTTCTCTGGCTTGTTCCAAGGCCAGGGACCAGAAGCAAGGAAAAGCTGAATAATTTCCAACTCACTTCCTGAGTCATAACAAAAATGGTGGAAAAAACTTTGGAAGGACAAAGGGACTTCTGGTTTTACAAAAAGCTTTGATATCGCTTCAAAAAGGTAATTTTAACGAAATTATTATGAGCAACAAGTCGTCCGAGCAACTCTGTCCATGCCTACTACAGAACCATCTTGCTCTAAACCCCCCTCTGTTTGCTCACCTACAGAATCATCAGGCCCTGAACACCCAAACCCTTCATCTTCATCTGGCTGAAACACAACATGTAGAAGTTGTCATTCAAAAAGCTATTTTTTCCAAACTTTGGAACATCATTCCCAATTACAGAATTTGCATTGGTCAGTTGAAAGCGACATTAAAATGGGATATAGTTGTGGCTTACTGTGTAAAACCAAAATTTCACAATAGGGGCATTGTAGAATTCATAGATCTTTGTCCCAATGGGAAGGCTCTTTTGCTTTTTGTTTCCATCTTCCTCATCTCCCTTTCGGGAACCTGTGTCAACATTGGCATCCTACAAGAGAAGCAAGTCAGCCAATAATTCACTTTCGTTCAATGATTCCGTGTAGGAAAACCCCATAAAGGCTGCTCTGAGAAAGAGTCCATACTAACCGCGTTGTCCTCCTCCTTTTCTTTCCCAACTTCGTTCTCCTTTGATGTTTGATAGGAGTAGTCATCGCAGGTGCGGAACTCCAGGAACAAGATGGTGGGTGGAAACAGGATGCCCATTATGACCTGGAGAAGGAGAGGAGGAGGCTTCTTCACTATGGAACACCAGGAAATATCCTGAGAAAATCTCCTTCATTTATATGTTTCACTTCCATAGTATGTTGTTCGGAGACACGTCCCACCCCTTACCCAGTCAAGATTGAGGTCAAAAGGCAACAACAGTGATGTTCAAATTAAGAGTATCCTTTGCCATTCACATCTGCAGAAGATACCAGTTGGACGTTACCTTAAGACCCGGGTTCTTCCGCATGCGCAGCCTCCCCATCCACATGTCTGTCAACAACATCTGGCTGCAAGTGTGGGCAATGAAGTCCCGGTGCTTGGCAGCCACAGCCAGCTTCAAACAAGTGGAGTTGCTCCAGTTTTTCAGCTCGTATGTCAGGAGCTTCATGGCCACCTGCTCATCATGCTTATAGGACTGGTCCAGCAGTTCCACGGCCAACTGGCCAAAGTCCCTGCAGAAAAGAAGAAGTGGAAAAGAATCAGACACAACAACCAGGTCTATCTATATCAGAGATGGGCAACTACTTAGTGGTCAGCAGCCCTCGAGCCCTCCCTTAGCCACACATCCCTACAGCAAGAACCTATATGTTCATGTTTCTCTGTACTCTCAAAATGGTGGCAGGAAGTGGCATTGTATGACTTCCTGTCACAATTTTGAGAGGGATTGCTGAAGGTATTGAACTGTTACTACAGTTCTTGGTGTAGAGATGGCTCATGCTTGTGTGCTTGTTTTTGCTTGGTTGGTTTCTATGTTGGGATACCATCTTCCATTGTCTTCACCCCAATCCAAGGGTTCAATGAAGACGTTGACTGCTACTGGAATTACTTGTTTTGGATCGCACTCCTACCAACGACTGTGAGGGGACGTGAAAGGGCTGGGATATGTGTCTTCCATAGGTGACCTCCTGCATCACTAACCACCAACAAAGTTTATTCTACTAAAATGGTGTGAATATTCAACACCTAAGTCTTGGGTGTTGGAAATGCAACAATGCTTAATGTCATTATGAAATATGATATATGGTTTGGCTGAATTGTATGTAAGGGGGATGGATGGACTAATTTGGCTGAAGACACCATTTTAAATAATTAAATGCCTGCTGGACTGTAATTAAAAGTTGCTAAACTGCCCACATTGATAAGAACTGTGACAAATGTGTTTACTTCTGTTTATCAGAGACAATGGTTCATTAAGTTAAGGAAATATTTACAATCTTAAGAATGTTAAGTCAACACAAGCCTTATGTTTATCAACACAAATTACAAAGAGTCAACATCTGCCGGGAAACTGAGATGAAGCCAGGTTTTCTCAGGATAAAAAACATCTTATCATTCATTTACAACTTTGGGACAACATCAGCAGAAATATTGCTATATAAAAGACCTTATTAAAATCCAAAAATTGAGACAGACAGAGATGCTGCTCACCCACTATGCTCTGCTCTATTGGGAAAGAGAGAGATAGTGTACTTTTGGAATGTCAGATTTCCAATGGAACACAGTCTACACTTTTCTTCCTTTTTCCAAGGGAAGAGGAAGGAGCGTGATTTTGGAGTCTTGGACTTTGTGCAGGGAGTCAACTTTTTCTGTAGCGAAAACACAGATCTGATCCTTGGCATTGTGCTATGGGAAAGGATGCATTTTGGAGTTTAGAAGTTATGGAACTATGCGTTGGGAGATTTGCAACGATGGCCTAACAGATGTTCTTCATGGAGGAAGAATGGTGAAATGGTGATGTATGAATGAGGATGGATGAATGTGTATGGATGGATGATGGCAGATCCTCCCACCAAAAGCCCTCTTCCTCTGTGATTGGCTGGCCTCTCAGCCAAGGGGAGGGCTGTTTCTGATACTCCAAGTGAGGGAGGGGAGAGCAGGCGTGCTTGGCGCATGGCAGCATGGTGTGCATGTGTGGGCAAGGGAGAGCATACGAGGTTGGAGGGAGGCCCGTGCTAGCAAGTCCTTTCAAGGCATGGGGGGGTCTGTCTACAACTCCCAAGTGTCAAGGTCTGTTTTCTCCAAACTCCACCAGTGTTCAAATTTGGACATATTGAATATTTGTGCCAAATTTGGTCCTGCTCCATCATTGTTTGGGTTCGCAGTGCTCTCTAGATGTAGGTGAACTACAACTCCAAAACTCAAACCCTTCCAGTATTTTCTGTTGAACCAAAAGTGTGCCAAGTTTGGTTCAATTCCATTGTTTCTGGAGTTCAGAATGCTGCGACTCCCAAATGACAAAATCAACCCTCCCCCCAACCTCACCAGTATTTAAATTTGGGCGTATCTGGTGCCAAATTTGGTCAGTGAATGAAAATACATCCTGCATATCAGGTATTTACATTATGATTCATAACAGTAGCAAATTGAGTTATGAAGTAGTAACCAAAGCAATATTATGGTTGGGGGTCACCACAACATGAGGTACTGTATTAAGGGGTTGCGGCATCAGGAAGGCTGAGGAACACTGCTTTAAAGTTATTGAAAAATTATTCATAACGTTAGCACTGAAGAGTGCTTCATAATGGTGGGCAGTGATCTCAAGAATGGTGGGCAGTGATTTCAAGAATCCACCCTCTATGCCAGCATTTTTCAACCTGGGGGTTGGGACCCCTGAGGGGGTCGTGAGGAGATGTCAGAGAGGTCACCAAAGACCCATCAGAAAATACTGAGTGGGAAGTTTGGCCCAATTCTATCGTTAGTAGGGTTCAGAATTCTCTTTTATTGCAGGTGAACTATAAATCCCAGCAACTACAACTCCCAAATGTCATGGTTTATTTTCCCCAAACTCCACCAGTGTTCACATTTGAGCATATTCAGTTTGGTCCAGATCCATCATTGTTTGAGTCCACAGTGCTCCCTGGATTTCGGTGAACTACAACTCTAAAACCTAAGGTCAATGCCCACCAAACCCTTATAGTATTAGATGTTGGTCATGGGAGTTCTGTGTGTCAAGTTTGGTTGAATTCCATCATTGGTGGAGTTCAGAATGCTCTTTGAGTGAACTATAAATCCCGGCAACTACGACTCCCAAATGACAAAATCAACCCCCACCCCAACCCCACCAGAATTCAAATTTGGATGTATCGGGCATTTGTGCCAAATGTGGTCCTGTGAATGAAAATATATCCTGCATATCAGGTATTTACATTACGATTCATAACAGTAGCAAAATTACAGTAGCAATGAAAATCATGTTATGGTTGGGGGTCACCACAACATGAACTGTATTAAGGGGTTTTGGCATTGGGAAGGTTGAGAATGACTGCTCTATGCCTACTTATCCTGAACCCTCTGAGATGGAAACTGATGGCATCTTTCTCACCCTTTTCTTCTCACAAGTCCTCTCTTGACCTTCCAAGATGGACCTAGGTTAGATCAGTACCTCAAGTAACTTTCCTATCTTAGAATGGAGGTCCTACAAGAAAGCTTAGGTCTTTCCTTCCATCTCTAACTGCCACAGACACTCTAACATCAGGGACTCTACAAGAGAATCCCGTCTCACTTGGAGTTGTTGTCCAAGTCTTGGGAGATATCGTCCACCAGCTCGCTCTCCGAAGACTCGTGGGCCATGGCTTTGTAGAGTTTGCAGGCTACCAGCGCCTTGGCCATGGACTCCTCTCCCCGCTGCCAGAGGAAGAGGGCCATCTTCTGCCGCTTCATCAGCACGGCCCACACCATCAGCTCATGGAAGGGGTACTTGAAACGGCTGACCTCCGGGTCGTCCACGTCAATGTCAATCTCCTCCTCCTTTTTCTTCTTCTTCTTCTTCCCTTTGGTTGGAGGCTCATCGTCCTAGAAAGGAGGAAGTGAATTAAGGTCCCCCAAATGTACTGTTTTACGATGCCACAAATGTGTAAGCACCAAGAAAGAGCTGCAGGCAAATGCATAATGGGAAGTCCATGCATTGTCGTTTAGTTGTAAACAAAATCAGGAAAGATTAGCATGCAAAATCATAGTGCGTGTGAGTTACTGATATAAGCATACCTCCACTAACAGGGCCTCTAACAGTGACGCCCCATTTATTAACTGAAGTTTACTTGGGTAAGAGAGATTTTCCAAAGCAAACGCATCAGGGGTCACTCTGCAGATTTCCATTGTGGCTGCTAGGGTTTGCCTTTGTGCAATGAAATCTGGACCGAATTATTACTTGGCAAATGGTATTACAGATCGAGTATGTGTTGGAGGTCATCCTGTGATTGTGTTTCAGGATCAGAATGCTTTGGATGTGGGAAGTTATGTCAATGAATTTCAAGATGGCAATGGTTTGGTCAATGATCCTGATGCATAGAAGGACGAGGAGATCCCTGTGCAAAGTGCCATTTTCGATTAGAATGTCCCTGAAGGGTGTGGGGATGATAGTGTATTCCCTGAATTATTACCACAGAGTTCTCAGTATTTGGGGCTTGAAAACAACTGGGCACCTGACCCAGCTGTAAAACTTAATGAGCAAATAGATAGGAGGCAGGAGATTAGTCAAAACAGGCAGACCGAACAGGGCCTTCGGTGGTCTGCCAGAATCCGACAGAAAAAGATAAAGCAAAACCAATTTCTGAGTGTTGGGGATAGCTTAAAAAGGGAATATAAGTTCCAAGTATGGGAAATATAGTTAGATGAAGCATAATTTAGAATCAAGTGTAGTTCGTGTCCTTGTTTCATGGAAGCCTTGCTGGGAAGATTCTTGCCTAAGTATTTCTTGTTTCATGGTTTGGATTCTTGGATTGTATGAATGCATACTCATGCCTTGGATTAATGTTTCCTAGTTTTCTGAATTATATTAGAGAAGAGTGGACTTTGTTTTTATGGACTTTGCTGAACTTTACCCTGGACTATTTTTGCTCCTGCTTATCTTTTTACCTAATTGGATTTATCTATTTCTTTTAAGTGCTTCTTACTTGCTGCTTTTTAATTATCTTCAATAAAATGATTGTTTTCCAATCAACGGTGTGGTGTTTACAGTTAGAGGGATTTTCCTGTCCTGGAGTGCAACAGTATGTCATATCCTAAATGCCTGGGAACAGATGTGTTCCGTATTTCAGATGTAGTTTGGACTAGCCATACCCGGCCACAAGTTGCTGTGGCCCTCAGAAAACAGAAGATTTCCAATTCAAATGAGGGAGTGGGAACAGATGTGGAACAAAAAATTAAAATATACATATGCAACGGACTTAAAAGAAAACTGGATAAAAATGTTCCATAGATGGCATACCACACCGAAACAACTTGCTAAAATGTATGAAACAGTTTCTGATAAGTGTTGGAAATGTTCAGGACAAGTGGTGGACTTGTAAAGAAGCAGTAAAATTTTGGAGGTTAATTCATGAAGAGACGCAAAAGATCTTAAAAAGAGTAGGCGTTACAGATTTGGATGTACAACTGATGGAACAAGAGGATAAACTTTTTACATATATTACGACCGCCGCTAGAATTGTTTTTGCTAGAGAGTGGAAGCAAGATTCAGTACCACCCGTACAGGATTGGGTGGAAAAAAATCAGGGAAATAAAGGAAATGGACGAATTGACTTTTTTGTTGAAGAAAAATACAGGCACTATAATAAAAAGAACGAATTGGGACAATCTTCATGACTCTCTGGACAATTTGCAAAAATAAAAAACAAGAGAGACAAGTTTATTATCTTTAATAAAAATTTTATATATATTTTTGAATAATAAGAATATTTTATCCAAGAAGATGGAATGGAAGTCACCCTTTCGTGTGTGTGTGTGTGTGTGTGTGTGTGTGTGTGTATGTATGTATTTTTGTAGTTTATATCTTTTTTAAAATCTTTTTTTTAGGGTTTATTTAGGATGTCCTTTTTACTTTTTACTTTACTGGCCTTTCCCTTTCTCTTTTTTTTTCTTCACTTTTCTATACCTTATTGTTCTCACTCTTTCATTGTATTCTATATAAAAATTTAATAAAATTTCTTTTTTAAAAAAGAGAAAACAGAAGATTTCCAAACATGGAGCAATCTGGGCTAGGAAACGCCTCCCACCAAAGGTTTCCTTCTGGCTTTAAGGTACAAGGCTATTCAGAGGCAATCCAGGTGGGGAACTGCAACATTCACACTTAGCTCAAGTAGAAATTGAGGGGGATGGGGCCAGGGAGTCGTTTTCATCCATGGACTGTAATGTCTTTTCGGTTTTTTGGGGAGCGACTTGAGAAACTGCAAGTTGTTTCTGGTGTGAGAGAACTGGCCGTCTGCAAGGACGTTGCCCAGGGGACGCCAGGATGTTTTGATGTTTTACCATCCTTGTGAGAGGCTTCTCTCATGTCCCCGCTTTTCTCATTAACCCTCTTCTCCACCAGGGGCTGCTGTTGAGGCTGGCCAATCAGAAACCATATGCAAATTTCCTTCTCTCARGTCCCCGCTTTTCTCATTAACCCTCTTCTTCACCAGGGGCTGCTGTTGAGGCTGGCCAGTCAGAAACCATATGCAAATTTCCTTCTCTCACGTCCCACTTTTCTCATTAACCCTCTTCTCCACCAGGSGCTGCTGTTGAGGCTGGCCAATCAGAAACCATATGCAAATTTCCTTCTCTCATGTCCCGGRTTCTCTCATTAACCCTCTTCACCACCAGGGGCTCCTGTTGAAGCTGGCCAATCAGAAACCATAGGCAAATAGCACCACAGTGACAGCCAATCAGAAAGCTGCCACAAACTCTTCCGCCCTACGTCCTACATCCTCCCTCTGTCCTCCCTCGCACACAAACTTTGACTTTTATTATATGTATAGATAGATGATGTTGTTGTTTATTGTTCGCGTTTTCAGTTTGTGTTTTTGGTTTTCTTTATTGTAATTTTCGTTTGGGCTTGGCCTCATGTAAGCCGCTCCGAGTCCCCATTGGGGAGATGGTGGCAGGGTAACAAATAAAGATTATTATTATTATTATTATTATTATTATTATTATTATTATTATTATATTTGTGTATATGTGTGTGTGTGTGTAGTTTTGCTCATGCATTGTAATGCATTTTTTTATTTTTTGGCTTTTAAAGTCTCTTCTGTGTTGTCATATTTTGGGAGATATTCAACCTGGATCACAAGGCAAATGGGTCAGCTAAAAAAGTGCAGAGTAACCCCCTTGATCCCAGCATCTCAGAGGTGCAGGTGGAATCTTGTTTATAACAGCCAGAATGTGAATCCCCAATTTTATTACACTATTTTTATTTATGGCATGCAGAGAACAAGCAAAGCAATGTGAGAAAGGAGATGAGAGGCAGATTACTTAGGAGGCTAAGTTGGAAATCTCTCCTCGTTACTTACGCAGGACTCCCCAAAGGAATGACTATCCCATTTCCTAAAGGGACAAGGAAGGTGGAACATTACTCCAGCAAAACAACATGGAAGGAAGGAATGAGAAAAGGGAGGGAATCAGAACAGGAGTCTTCAACACCATGATTTTGCAAGGACCGGAGGCAAAAAATGGGTAGAAAACCAAGTTTGAATCAGACAATATCAAATCTTATCACCAGGCCTTACTAATGTATGCTACATTAATGCATGGCCGCATTTGCAGACAACACCAACTTGGGAGGGATAGCAAATACCCTAGAAGATTGGAGCAAAATTCAAAATGATCTTCACAGATTGGAGAAATCCTGGGCCAAAACTAACACAATGGAGTTCAACAGCAATAAATGCAAAAGCCAATGGGATTTTGGCCTGCATCAATAGGAATCTAGTGCCTAGATCCAGGGAAATTATGCTCCCCATGCTCTATTCTGCCTTGGTCAGACCATGTTACCTGGAATCACACTGTGTCCATTTCTGGGCACCACAATTGAAGGGAAATGTTGACTCTAAGCTGGAATGTGTCCAGAGGAAGAGAGCAACTGAAGGGATCAAGATCTGGAGAACAAGCCCTATGAGGAGCAGCTTAAAGAGTTGGGCATGTTTAGCCTTCAGAGGAGAACATGAGGGACATGGATCAAGATGAGAGGAGAAGTCCTAGGAAGGAGGGAGCAAGCTTGTTTTCTGCTGCCCTGGAGACTACTGTGCAATGGAACAATGGCTTCAAACGACAGGAAAGGGGATTCCACCTGAACATGAGGAAGAACTTCCTAACTGTGTGAGCTGTTCAGCAGCGGAACTCTCTCTCTGTCCCAGAGCGTGATGGAGGCTCCTTCTTTGGGGGCTTTGAAACAGAGGCCATTTTCGGGGTGCTTTGAATGCAAATTTTCTGCTTCTTGGCAGAATTGGGTTAGACTGGATGGCCCACCAGATCTCTTCCAGCTCTATGATTCTATGATTCTAATGCATGTTATTCTTATGTTGGTTTAATATTTTATTGTTTTGTATTTAATTGTATGTTGCCCTGGGCATGGCCCCATATAAGACACCCCGAGTCCTTCGGGGAAGTGGAGGCAGGGTAGAAAAATAAAGTTCTTCTTCTTCCTCCTCCTCCTCCTCCTCCTCTTCCTCTTCTTCTTCCTCTTTTTTCTTCTTTTTTTCTTCTTCCTCTTCTTCCTCCTCTTCCTCTACTTCCTCTTCATCTTCTTCCTCTTCTTCTCCTCCTTCTCCTTCTTCCTCTTCTTCTCCTTCTTCCTCTTCCTCCTTTTCCTCTTCCTCTTTTTCCTTTTCCTCCTCCTCTTCTTCTCCCTCTTCTTCCTCCCATTCTTCTTCTTCTACTTCTTCTTCCTCCTCCTCCCCCTCTTCTTCGTCCTTCTCTTCCTCCTCCTCCTCCTCCTCCTCTTCTTCTTCTTCTTCTTCATGGCACACCTTTAGATTTCAAAGAATCATAGAATCATAGAGTTGGAAGAGACCTCATGGGCCATCCAGTCCAACCCCGTTCTGCCAAGAAGCAAGAAAATCGCATTCAAAGCACCCCTGACAGATGGTCATCTAGCCTCTGTTTCCTTTTCCTCCTCCTCTTCTTCCTCCTCCAAAGAAAGAGCCTCCAACACACTCTGGGAAGAGTTCCACCACTGAACAGTTCTCATAGCCAGGAAGTGCTTCCTAATGTCCAGGTGGAATCTCCTTTCTTTCCTATAGTTTGAAGCTATTGTTCCATTGCGTCCTAGTCTCCAGGGAAGCAGAAAGGAAGCCTGCTCCCTTCTCCCCATGACTTTCCCTCACATGGCCCTCCATGGCCCTCATCATGTCTCCCTGGGCACACAGAAAACCGGGTGACTTGGAAGGCGCTGAACAGACTGTGCTCGGGCACCACGAGATGCAGAGCCAACCTTAAGAAATGAGGCCACAAAGTGGAGTCCACAACATGCGAGTGTGGAGAAGAGCAAACTACAGACCATCTGCTGCAATGCACCCTGAGCCCTGCCACATGCACAATGGAGGACCTTCTTATAGTAACACCAGAGGCACTCCAAGTGGCCAGCTACTGGTCAAAGGACATTTAATCAACTACCGAGCTTGCAAACTTTGTGTTTTGTCTGTTTGTTTGTTTGTTTGTTTTGTTAAAATGCAATACAACTGTTTGGTTTGCTCCTGACACGATAAATAAAATAAATCATGTCTCCACTCCACCTGCTCTTCTGTAGGCTAAACATGCCTAGCACTTTAAGCCACTCCTCATAGGGCTTGTTCTCCAGACCCTTGATGCTTTGAGTCACCCTCCTCTGGACACATTCCAGCTTAGAGTCAACTTCTCCCTCCCATTGTGGTGCCCAGAATTGGGCATGATGTGATTCCAGGTAAAATGGTCTGAAAGAAGCAGAATATAATAGAGACATAGCAGGACTTCCCTGGATTTAGACATTCGGTCCTTCTGGATTTGCTAAACCTGGGCTGGTTTTTATCTCGGCAGAGACAGGCCGTTCCTATTTTGGCCGCCAGAAAAGACAAAGAGATTTCAAAGAAGATTAAGCATTGTCGAGGCTTCCTTTGTGCAGTGCAAAGCAGCTTACCCGGCTTTCAGAGCAATGGGCTCGGCTTTGTGTTTATATATATTTTAGAAGTGATTTTCGCCGATATCTGTACACTACAATGCATGCCAAGGCCTTAGATATTTCCTGGGCGGAAAGGAGGATAGTTTGCAAGTCTGGGATTGCCCCCACGGCTCTTTTAAAGGGCTGATGAGGATGTCACTAGGTAGAAGCAAGCAAAACAACCCCAATCCTGGCAGCAAAGGGGAGCTTGTTTCCAAAATCAGGGAATCAAAAGGTTGGAGAGTCTTATGTGTCTAAACAAAACCTTACCTCCATCCCAAGGAGCTTAAGAGCTTTAGGCTGGAAGAGAAACAAGGAAAGGAAGGAGAGAGAAAAAAAGGAAATATTAGATGATTGAGAAACATTGCAAAGCTTTCCATACTGTTTATTATTATTATTATTATTATTATTATTATTATTATTATTATTATTTACTGTATTTGTATACTGCTTTTCGGCGACTCAAGTAGTTTTCTAAATTGAAAATACGGTATAGAAATACTCCTCTATTTATCCATATCCAACAAAATATGTCCCCACTAGGCATTTTCTAGGTCCTCCGGCATAACTCTCTGGTATTTCTGTGCCACACGTCCTTCATTTTAATAGAATTTCCTATTATTCACGGTTTCACATATTCATGTGAAGCCCAGGAACATATTGCCTAAGGTATGGGAGCTACACTATAGGTCCATATCATCCAAGAGCAAAGTTTTCATGTTAAGATACAGTACGATATGTTATATACAATAACGGGTTATCTGAAAAAGTCATTATTTTATTATTTTACCAAATGCATAAGGTAGTGGGTGAACTACAACTCATATCATGCCATGTTAACCCATCAGTAGTTAAAGTTTGTCATGTTTGGAAAGTTAGCTCTAGATCAGTGGTTCCCAAACCTTTTTTGACCTGGGACCACTTTGACCAGGGACCACCTGACCAGGGACTACTTGAACAAGGACCCCTTGACTAGGGACCACTTTGATCGAGGACTCCTTGACCAGGAACCACTTTGATCAGGGACAACTTGACCAGAGATCACTTAACCAGGGAGTACTTGACGAAGGACCCCTTGTCCAGGGACCACTTTGATTGAGGACTCCTTGACCAGGGACCACTTCGATCAGGGACACTTTGACCAAAGATCACTTGACCAGGGACTACTTGACCAAGGTCTCCTTGACCAGGGACCACTTTAACCAGGGAACACTTGACCAGGGACTACTTGACCAAGGACCCCTTGACCAGGGACCACTTTGATTGAGGACTCCTTGACCAGAGACCACTTTGCCCAGAGACCACTTGACCAGAGTCCACTTGACAAGGGACCACTTTGACCAGGGACCACTTGACCAGGGACCACTTGTCCAAGGACCACTTTGACCAAGGACCACTCTGACCAGGGACCACTTTGCCCAAGGACCACTTTGGCCAGGGACCACTTTGACTAGAGACCACTTGACCAGGGACCCCTTGACCAGGGATCACTTGACCAGGGACCACTTGACTAGGAACAACTTTGAACAAGGACCACTTGACCAGGGGCCACTTTGACCAGGGACCACTCTCGAACATTAGCACCAAAAGGGTTACAAATCAATTTTTGATCAACTTTAGATTCAGTTTGGCTATCTGGAGTGCTGATTCAGAAAATTGCATTGGATGAACCACATCAGCTCTAGTTTCTGCTACAGAACATATGCCATCCAGTAGTTGTCATCTGCTCACCCACACAAAACTATATTTAATAATTTAGAGCCACTGACCTTATTTTAGGTCTTGCAACCCACAGGTTGGGAACCACTGCTCTAGATGCATCATTGGTGGGGTTCAGTATGATCTCTGGCTGCAGGATAAACTACAGCTCCCACCATGATAGGTCAGTCCCCTCAAATCCCTCAAGTAGGTTCAGTTGGTCATGGGAGTTCTTTGATTGTGTACCAAGTTAGGTCCAGGGCCTTTGTTTGTGGGGTCCAGAGTGCTCTTTGATTGCAAGTGAACTATAAATCCGAGCACCTACAACTGCTATAAATCAAGGTGAATTCCTCCCAAACCTCTCCAGTATTTTTCTTAGGTCATAGGGTTTCTATGTGCCAAATGTGGTCCAGGTCCATTGTCAGTAGGGGTCACAGTGTTCTGACTTGATGCGGGGTGAACTACAACTTCCATCATGTGGAGACAATCTCCCAACCTCCTCCTATATGTTGAGTTGCTGACTAGTTCTGTTCTGTTTGTTGTGCAGACAGAGTGGAAAAGCATAGGAAGGGTTAAGGGAGAAGCAGTGGGTGGGATCATGCAAATTCCACACCAATGGAGAGAGTAAGAAACACTGGGATGTCTGTGGCTGAGGAAACATGTATAATCTAAGATGAAATTGTCCTCATATGAAAGTTTAGTGGTGGGCAGTATGTGTTTGGGGAGGACATTAGCATGAGTTGGGCTACATGTTCATGGCGCTCACTATAACCTGCACTGTCATTGGAGGGAGGGCTTTTGGTGGATCCTCAGCACTGTGGGTTAAAGCTGTTGGTGGAAGTGGGAGCCTGTCTGTGGAAGTGGGCACCCCAGCCACATACAAACATACATATTTTCACTTTTATTATGGGATTAGCTTAAACAAAACAAAGACTATGGAGGCTAAAAAAAGGTATAATCCAGTGATATTGACAAAATGCAATGGATTCTTACCCTCTTTGGTCCAAATAAATTGTTGTAGAGGGTCCGGAAGCTCTTCCGCGTATAGTTGCAGCGGTACGCCCCACCCATGAGATATTCTAGCACCAGGCCAATGTCAATGAGGCTAATGTGGTAGTCTGGAGGCAGATTGCCCTGGGAAGAAAAAACCCAACACAAATGTCATTGCTGGGCGGAAAAACACAATCTAGGGGGGCATATATTTATCACTGCATTTATTTGATATTGCACACATTTGCTAAAAATTACAATGCTGCTTGTAGGGAGTGTGTCCTCCTTGTTGGATTTGGGGTTGTTTTTCTAGGAAGGCCAAGATGGCTCCCCTGTTGCTATCCTGCTGTAGGCTTAGGAGATTCAGGAATATATCCTCTGAAGATACGGGGAATGTACTATTAAAGCAAATTATAAAGGCATGGACTCCTGAGGGAGGAAGCCCAATGTTTTGGTTCATGGGAGCATCATCAGATGTTCCAGAAGGAAAGTTTCTGTTCACCATCTCCACTTCATGTTGTTCATCACAGATTAGTAAATTCAGGAATATATCCTCTGAAGATACCAAGAATATACTATTAAATCAAATTATAAAGGCATGGACTCATGAGTGAGGAAGCCCAATGTTTTGGTTCGTGAGAGCATCATCAGATGTTCCAGAAGGAAAGTTACAGTTCATGATCTCTACTCCATGTTGTTAATCACTGAATAGTAAATTCCTCTGATGATGATGATGATGATTGTATTATTAAAGCAAATAATAAAAGCATGGACTCCTGAGTGAGGAAACCCAATGCTTTGGTTCATGGGAGCATCATCAGATGTTCCAGAAGGAAAAATTTTAGTTCACGATCTCCACTCCCTGTTGTTAATCACCAAATAGTAAATTCAAGAATATATCCTCTGAAGATGTTGTTGTTTATTCGTTCAGTCACTTCTGACCTCATGGACTAGTCCACACCAGAGCCGTCCCCACCTCCAGCTCCTTCAAGGTCAAGCCAGTCCCTTCAAGGATACCATCCATCCATCTTGCCCTTGGTTGGCCCCTCTTCCTTTTTCCTTTTATTTTCCCCAGCATCATCGCCTTCTCCAAGTTTTCCTGTGTTCTCATGATGTGGCCAAAGGACTTCATCTTTGCTTCTAATCTCCTTCCCTCCAGTTAGCAGTTGGGCATTATTTCCTGGAGTATGGACTGGTTGGATCTTTTCACGTCTAAGCCACTCTCAGGATTTTCCTCCAGCACCACAGGTCAAAACCGTCTCTCTTCCTTTGCTCAGCCTTCCTTATGGTCCAGCTCTCACATCCATAGGTTACTACGGGGAATACCATTGCTATAATTATGTGGACCTTCATTGCCAGTGTGATGTCACTATCTTATCGAGATTGGTCATTGCTCTCCTCCCAAGAAGGAAACATCTTCTGATTTCTTGGCTGCAGTCTGCAGTCATAGAAATACAAAGTCTGTCACTGTCTCCACGTTTTCTCCCTCTATTTCCCAGTTTTCAATCAGTGGGGTTGCCATCATCATGGGTTTTTGGATGTGGAACCGCAACCCAACTTTTACATTTTTTTCTTTCACCTTGGTTAGAAGGCTCCTCAGCTCCTCCTCACTTTTGGCCATCAAAGATCTCCACTCCATGTTGCTCATGATAGCTCTTTGGAATGAAAGCCAACAGTAAGCAACGGCCTCCAGTTTGAGAATAGATCTTACTACCCATATAGTGAAAGGACCAAGGCAGTGACATTTCCAGCTCATCCCCTGTTTGGGTATCAGCCAGTACGTCAACAACTTAAATCAAGAAATAGTTTTCTAAGATCTACAGAGACACTCGCTGGAACACCTCAGCAAGCGAGAGTCCAAAAGTGGCAGGCTCAAACCAAGAACCTCAACCAATAGCTGATACCAAATGAGAGACTCCCCCTGGGCACACAGAAGACTGGGTGACTTGGAAGGCGCTGAACAGACTGCGCTCTGGCACCACAAGATGCAGAGCCAACCTTAGGAAATGGGGCTACAAAGTGGAGTCCATGGCATGCGAGTGTGGAGAAGAGCAAACCACAGACCATCTGCTGCAATGCAACCTGAGCCCTGCCATATGCACAATGGAGGACCTACTTATAGTAACACCAGAGGCACTCTAAGTGGCCAGCTATTGGTCAAAGGACATTTAATCAACTACCAAGCTTGCAAACTTTGTGTTTTGTTAGTTTGTTTGTTAAAAATGCAATACAACTGTTTGGTTTGCTCCTAACACGATAAATAAATAAACTACCCATATTAACTTGGGAGTCATTAACTGCCTGGATTCTGCTTCATCAGATTGAGATCAGGATCCCACGTCTGTCAGAAATCCAACCACCGGCTTCCATTAGGAAACCTACATTAACTACAGTTTTACAATATCTCCAAAGCCAAACAAGCTTTCAATTAATCCACCATCCAGATTGCTGTTGTGTAACCTCTATGGCCATATTGCTGCAGATTGGATAGCTCTGTTAAACGCTGGCACGTGTCCTACCGCTTTGAGGGGAAACATACGCCTTTTATAAAATAAAGAACAGCCATGGGGATCTAGTCTAAGAGAAACGAGACGGCAACAAACTAAGAAGAAAAAGCCACGTTCTACGCAAGTCATTCACCTCCATGTTAACCCATCCAAATCCCCTAGCTAGCCGCTGGATGGGAATGTCCCAAAGGAATGCAATGGAAAGAAGAAGGAAAGAGAGAAAGAGATGGAGAAACACACAATGGCATGTTAGTGATGGCAGTGAAAAATGAATGACAGTGAAACATGGAAAACAAACACACAATATGCATAGACATCATAGAATGAACAGATCTACAGTGTGACCCATCCTACGCCTTCTCTGATTTGGTAATCCTTTCTCCAGTTGGAACAGGAATATGTAAAGTGCCCCACTGGATTGGACTAGAAGCCAATGCAATGCAGCTTTCCATTTCCAGTTGTAACCAGTCTGATACTGGGAAGAGGGAGTCAAGGGAAGGCACGAGCTGAGCATGGAGATACCAGCCCTTTCCATTAAGCCATGAAGGCACTTAGTAGAATTCACCCGTAACAGGAATGCATCTAATACGGGGGCAGAATGAAAAGTAATGCCTCCACCTTCGTTACTTGGGTTTGGATGGGAATATTTTAATAAATAAAATGCAGAAATAATCCTTAGAATGTGCTCTTTAACTACCACTATTCATTTTCCCACATAATCACTAGACAATTGGATACATTTCTGTCAACGATGAACAAGTTTTCTGAAGCCTTCACAGAAGAAGTCGACACTCTGTGTCACACCACAGAGTAGAACCACCTTGCTTAAGACACCAAAGAACACACCAGCAGTTGTCCTTGTAGTTTTGTTTAAAATAAAAGATAAAAAGTTCAAAAAGCAAAAGTATATTTCAAAAGATCAATCCAAGGTAATATAGGCAAACAAGATCCATGATAACACAGGCAAGGTAAAGTCCCTTAAGTGCATGACAAAGTCCTAAAACATGAACATAAAAGGCTACAAGATAAATCCCAAAGTCTCTTGGTTAAAGCGTGAAGTTGCTCTGACACTGAGGCACATTCAAACAGTCTGTTTAATACTCTTGGGCCAGCATGAAGGCCTTCCTATGGTCTCAGGCCTCTCTCTCTCACCTCCCAGTGATCCTGGCACTCCTTCGCACTTTCAATTCCAAGTGATCAGCCCTATCTAAATCACTGGCCCCATCGAGGTCAAATCCCTCAGTAGCTCAGTAACCCATCATTCCTTTCTAAATCCTCCCTTCCTTCATCAGGCACCTGGCTCTCACTCTCAGTAGTTTCACTTTCTCCAGCGTCAACCCTTGACGCTGGAGAAACAACTGAACTTCTGCCCCCTGGTCCTGGTCTTCCTCGTCTAACACGGGAACATCCTTGTTTTCCATCTGATCATCCCCATCAGAATAATTGATACTATCATTCTGTGATTCCAACTGAATCACAACACTCTGTTTCCGCAACCAGCGTTTCACAGTTCTCTCATCCTGGGTACCCATCATGCACAGATCTTCTGACAGTCAAGCAAAGCAATCATGTGACCCACACATTCTTGTGAAATGCCAATTATGCTTGAAATTTCGCTGAGTGATACGACAATCGTCCTGAATCAACCTGTCAACCCTTTGCTTGTGAAACTCAGTGGTTGCTGTCACAGGACGTCCAACTCTTTGTTTGTCATGCCAGTCAGATGTTCCCACCTCAACATCTTTAAAGTTACTTGCCCAACGACCCACATCAACACAATCACCATAAACAGCTTGCATTCTCTGATGAATCTCCTTTGGGGTGACACCTTCCGCTGTCAAGACTGCACGTTGTTTAAGTCACATTGACCGACTGTGCAGGGTTCCATACTTTGCATTTTAACAACACAACCATTCAATGCTAAGGAACTGTAGAGGAGAGTTTGCTGAACAAGCCAGTACCTAATGCATACCAGTACTGCCATCTGTTGAGGAGTTACGAAGGTGGAGACATTACTTTTCATTCAACCCTCGTATAAACTAATGGTTGCCCCACCTCTTTTTAGTCAATGATTTATTGACTAAAGGGTGAAGACATCCTTATGTTGTTTGGCAATCATTTCCTTTGGGTGATGGTGCCCAAATTCTAGTATTGTAACGAAGGGAGGAAGTTCATCTTTACTATGCTCTATTTGGACACCATCGACCAGCAAACTGAGATCAAATCAAGCCTGAACTCCTCTAAAAAAAATAACTTATCCTACATCAGAGCAGGAACACCTCTAACCTTAAACACTACATCAACTTCATATAATCAGCAAGCAGTTTATTAAAGAATATAAGTAGGCAAAGCAGTGAAATTAGCAAAACAGTAAAGTTCCAAAACAAAGGTTAGTCCATGAGTTTCAAGACAAAACAAGAATCATAGGTATATAAATCCATGCAACAGGCACAAGAATCCCTGAAACAAGGCAGCATGAAAAATCCAATACACAAATCAGGAGCTTGGCAAAAACTTGGTACATGAAACTAAGAGCACTTGAAAGCAAGACTGTCATGAAATTCCAACGTTGACCCAATTGAGGCAACTCTTTCCCATGACTCAATATAAGGCTTTTTTAGATCCCAATACCGAAAGGTGTCCTTACCACCTTTTGGTTTTGGGATTTGAAAAAGCCTTATAGGTATCCTTACCACCACATAAAAGTTTCTTATCTCTCTTCTCCTGTAAATGAATCGATCTTCTTTGTGCCTGAGCACTCTGTCTCTGTTTACAAAAGCCTTGCCTTCTATCTACACTCTCATTAACTTGACTCTCATTAACTTCTGTGCCTGAAAATTATCTCCAGACAGTGGCTCTGGGAAAGACTGTGAAGGGCCTCTCCCAAGAATGTGACCTTGTGAATCTTCCAGAGACATCTCGGGCCTCTCGTCCAAGCGTAACTCAGGCCCAGCTAAACCCTCATCCCCATGGCCAACAGACCCAGCCCCACCATCAAGAACATCATCCCCATTCCCATCATGAACATCAGACACAATCATAGCCTGAACAGGCTGAAATACAACATGTCCAAACTGAGGTTATCATACTTGGAACATATAATGTGATGACATGAATAATTGGAAAAGATGATGATAAAGTGGAAGACAAGATGGAAAGAGGATGGATGACTCCACTATAGGTTCAGTCAAGAAATCTAAGGTTTGATTGATTTTGAAAAATCTGCACCGTTAATAACAAGGGCCGGGCTTTAGCTCAGCAGGTTAAACTGCAATAAATCTTGTCAGTCAAAAGGCTGCCAGTTCAAAGCCTGGGTCATGGTAAGCTCAGCTTCTGCCTACCAAGCAGTTTGAAAGCAAAATGTGAATAGATAAACAAAAGGTCAAGGTTTCCCCTTGACATTAAGTCGAGTAGTGTCTGACTCTGGGGGTTGGTGCTCATCTCCATTTCTAAGCCAAAGAGCCGACGTTGTCCGTAGACACCTCCAAGGTGATGTGGACAGCATGACTGCATGGAGCGCTGTTACCTCCTCGCAGAAGCGGTACCTATTGATCTATTCACATTTGCATGTTTTCGAACTGCTAGGTTGGCAGAAGCTGGGGCTAACAGCAGGAGCTCACTCCACTCCCTGGATTCAAACCGCTGATCTTTCAGTCAGTAAGTTCAGCAGCTCAGAGGTTTAACCCGTTGTGCCACCAGGGGCTCCTTTTACGTTACATTTACATTATTTTACTCTACTATTATTATTTTATTACATTTATTATTTTACTCTATTTATTATTGTTATTACATTTATTATTTTACTATAGTATTACTGTTATTATTACATTTCTATTATTTCACTCTAATATTATTTTTATTACATTTGTTATTTTACTCCCTTTATTATTATTGGAAGGAGACGTAAACACATTTACACTGACGCATCCTAGGTAAAGGTAAAGGTTTTCCTCTAACATTAAATCCAGTTGTGGCCAACTCTGAGGGTCAGGTGCTCATCTCATTTCTAAGCCGAAGAGCCAGCATTGTCCGTAGACACCTCCAAGGTCATGTGGACTGCATGGAGAGCCGTTACCTTCCCGCAGAAGCAGTACCTATTGATTTACTCACATTTGCATGTTTTTGAACTGCTAGGTTAGCAGAAGCTGGGCCTAACTGTAGGAGCAAACCTCGCTCCCCCGGATACGAACTGCCAACTTTTCGGTCAGCAAGTTCAGCAGCTCAGCAGTTTAACCCACTGTGCTACCAGGGGACCCTGTAGATAAATTAGGTATTCTGAGGCACCTACAAGGAATGCCGGTGATTTGATCAACAAAGGAGGAAGTTACGAACAAGCTCTTTGGCAGGGAGATGGAGCGACAGCACCCCCTTGTGGCCAGAACTGAGCACAAAAGCCTCCAAGATGCTGAAGTTGGGAAAAGCCAATATATATACCTCTATCTACGTATAATTGTCTGTCTTGTTTGTGTATAAAACAGCAATAAATGTTTGCCTCATATGTATGTTCTGTGATCTGCCTTGAGTCCCCTTCGGGTTGAGAATGGCAGAATATAAATACTGTAAATAAATAAATAAGGCCCCTTGGAGGCAGGCCCATAGCCAGGATTTTGATTGGGGGGGGGGGCTGAGTTTGATGGGAGGGGCTGAGTCTGAGTGAAAGAGGGTCTACCCTAGCAAACCTTTTGTATCGTTACCCCAATACCCCCATATATTGAGCATGGTGATCAGATCATGATATGAATAAACATAACAGTCTAAATAATGTACCAGTAAGACCTTTTCGCAGACCACCATGAATTTCGGGGGGGGGGGGCTGAAGCCCCCAAGCCCCCCCCCCCCCGGCTACATGCCTGCTTGGAGGTATTTCCTTCATTATCTTGACACCAACTTGACATCAAATAATAACAATGCTCCATTCACAACAATATAGAATGCTACTGCATCTCATTCATATTTCATCTAAACCAGTGGTTACCAACCTTTGGTCCCCCAGGTGTTTTGGACTTCAACTCCCAGAAATCCCAGCCAGCTTACCAGGTGTTAGAAATAGTGGGAGCTGAAGTCCAAAACTCCTGGAGGACCAAAAGTTGGGAAGCACTGATCTAAACAAACATTTTAAAATACTATTTTTATTAGGGACGATACTAACAACGCTTGACAGATGCCAGATCCTGGACTCCTCCTTCCCAGCCACTCCATGGTTTTTCCAATAGAATTATTGCATGATGTTCATACTCTACATGCTATAATCTCACTTGATCATGCACAGAAAACATTGTGACTACATATGACCCAGCAGACAACTAGCAACTTGTAATACTATTTTTTCTCAGTGACTTGCACACAATATCTTGCTCTTTTCAGCTTCTCCTATCCCACATTTTATATAAAGTTACCTTACCTTTTTCACATCTCTGACAATCAGATGTAAAGTATTTGGTGGGCCCAATCTCTGAAAAAGACAACAAGTGAACACTGTTGGAAGACGTAATATAGGAACAGTTTCTTAAAAGCATTATTTACACCAATTTCTACCCAGATCTACCTCCCTTCTCTGTATGCATTCTATTTTTTCTCTCTCACCTGGAGTTCTTTGGTCTTCCAAACTGTTTACCCTCAAAAATTCCTCAAAGCTTTAGGGCTGTTTCCCTGGAAATCTTTGGAAATCTTTGGATGCTCTTAAGACTGTTCTCCCCCGGAAAGTCTTAAGGGTTGAAGCTTTTGTACAGGAGAAGCTTGTACACGTCCTCTAAATTAGCTTTCCTTACTGAGACTAACTAAAAATGGCTCCCTTCCCTTCCCAATTGCCCTGAACAAGGGGCGGAACCAAAACTTAAGATGATGGACAGGTGACTTGCCCTACGACTGCAACCAAAGGAAGCCACCTTTCTGCAGAATCCCTGAAACCTTGGACTGCAAGCAAACATTTAATACAAAGCAAATAAAGTTGGAGCTCCTGGTACAGCTGTACCAGCACACATTATATTATAATATTATTAGTAATGTTACATGTAATGTAAAATATATAATTATAATATTGTATTATTATTATTATTATTATTATTATTATTATTATTATTATAGTGTATTACATTATCTATATAAATAAAAATGTAATGTTCGTTTGTGGGATTAACATAACTAAATCAACACTTGATTAATTGACACCAAATTTGGACACTAAATCTATCAGGCCAACAAGTAACCATCACTCATAAAAACACAGAAAAACACACCAGAAACGACTTAAAAATCCAAAAAACAAAAAATACATTACAACGCATGTGCAAAACCATATATATATACGCATGCAAACACACATATACACATATACACAAATGTATATATTTGTGTGTATACACACAAAAAACACATATACACAGACTGGGCCACAACAACACATGGCAGGGGATGGCTAGTAATATTATAAATATTATATGTATATGCAATATATTATATTATATTATATTATATTATATTACATTATATTACATTATATTATATTATATTATTAGCATAGCACAGGAGACAAGGTGGAACTGTCCCCTGCCCCCCTCTCTCTTCACTCTGGTCCAGAGCGGCAGTTGGTGTTGGGGGGAGGGGTTCTCAACTGATGACATATGCAGGAGACAAGATGGAACTATCCCCTGCCCCCCCCTCATAATAATAGCCAATCCTTTGTTGAAGCATGTAAAAATCAGTTGTGTGTGTAAACTGAAAAATGCAAAGCATGAAGCTGATTGGTTGGGCTACGTCCAGAGGCTAGCTGAGTCTGGGAATTTTGGCAACAGTTACATGTTTAAGGTTTTCTGTGCAGGGAGCTTGCCAAGACAGTTTTATACTTCTTCTTCTTGGCTGTTGGAAGAAGATCTTTCACATGGACACCTAAGGAACATTTGAATCTCTCTCAAAGGACGTTGTGTGAGTCAATGCAATTGTTCACATGAGTGTATATATGTTACTCTACATAACAAAGAGTAAACACCGTATTCTTTACTGATCATTTGCCTGGCATATCTTTTCTCTGGCAAGACAGTATGTGGATATGTAAAGACGTGAACTATGCGTGATTTTCATCCCTCCACATGTCACAAAAATTTAATGTGCAGATTTTATAAATGTGGATTTAATATGATATGTGGGAATGAATGGAAGAATAGAAGGATGTATAGAGCTAATAATTTTGGAAAGACCCAGGCCTGCAATGACTGCTTGCCGGACTGCAATTAAAAGTTGCTAATAAGAGCTGAAAAGTAAACTCTGATAAAAATTGGGACAGTGATAACAGAAATGTTTACAATGTTAAGAAGGAAGTCAACATAAGATCAACACCAATCAAGAAGATCAACATCTGGCCAGGAAACTGAGATGAAGCCAGGATGGAAGACGTCTATCATTAATTTACAACTTTGGGACTATATCAACAGAATATTCCTATAAAAGACTCAGTCCAATAATGCTCAAAGTGTGGCAGACCTGAGGAGTCTGTTCCACCTGCGATGCTCTGCTCCATGGGAAGGAGAGAGATAGTGTACCTATGGAGAGTGGCAGATTTGCATGGGAGCAGTTTGGTCACTTTGGAGCTTCTTTCTCAAGGGAAGAGGAAGAAGTGCTTCTGGAGTTTAGATTTTGTGCAGGGAGTCAGGTTCTGCTGTATGGAAAACAGAGATCTGGTCCTTGGCATTGTTCTTAGAGAAAGAAGTTTTGGCATTTCGGCCTATTGAAATATTGGCGTTATGGAACTATGCATTGACAGGACATAAATATGGTCATCTCTGCCATCTTTCTGTTCTTTCAGGTTAGTTGCCACCATATTCACTCACAGTATTGTAAAGCTCCTCCAGCCGAGGAATTGTGAGGAAGCGCTGCATACTGACTCCGTTTTCGATCAGGAGTTTCACAAAATCCACCCGGTCCAAGACCAAAGCATCGAGCATTGCCTGCTCCAGGGAGTTTACCTGTGTAAAAGGGGAAGATGAAAAATACACGAATTGAATGTGCCAGACCAATACAAACACTGTGCTGGATGACAGAGATGTTTCTGTTCGATGAAGTCATCCAAAGCTGGAAGGGGAAAGAGTCAACAGAAAAGTTAGTTGTTTGAATGGCTACTTCCATTTACAGTCCAAAAATAATGTTTGTATATAAGATTCCGGGAGCCCGCAGTAGCGCAGTGGGTTAAACCACTGAGCTGCTGAGCTTGTTGATCAAAAGATCGCAGGCTTGAGCGGCGTGACCTCCCGCTGTCTGCCCCAGCTTCTGCCAACCTAGCAGTTCAAAAACATGCAAATGTGAGTAGATCAATAGACACCACTCTGGTGGGAAGGTAACGGAGCTCCATGCAGTCATGCTGGCCACATGACCTTGGAGGTGTCTATGGACAACGCTGGCTCTTCATCTTCGAAATGGAGAAGAGCACCAACCCCCAGAGTGGGACACGACTAGACTTAATGTCAGGGGACAACCTTTACCTTTTACCTATATACTGTATATATACAAGTATAAGCCAACCCGAATATAAGCATAGGTATCTAATTTTACCCCAAAAAACTGGGAAAACGTATTGACTCAAGTATAAGCCGAGAGTGAGAAATGCAGCAGGTACCGGTCAATTTCAAAATGAAAATAGAGAACAATAAATTAATTGAGGTATCAGTTAATTCTCATTTTTTGAATATTTACATAAAACTGTAATTTAAGATAACTGTCCAACTCTGATGAAACCACTATTTTCATCTTCTTCAATGTAAATGTGCTTATGTATCCTTGCAATAATAATAAAGAGAATAAGATAATAAATGTAATAATTTATTAATAAAAATAAATTATTACATTTATTATTATTATTATTATTATTATTGATTAAAATAATGGAAATGTAGTAATAAGAGTTATAATAGAATAAAATAATAAATGTAAATAATAAATGTAATAACAATCTATATAAATAAAAATGTAATGCTTGTTTGTGGGATTAACAGAACTCAATAACCACTGGACGAATTGACATCAAATTTGGACACAAGACACATAACAACCCAATGTATGTCCTTCACTAAAAAAATTGATTTTGTCATTTGGGAATTGTAGTTGCTGGGATTTATAGTTCACCTGCAATCAAAGAGCATTCTGAACCCCACCAATGATGGAATTGAACCAAAGTTGGCACACTGTTCTCCCATGACCAACAGAAAATACTGGAAGGGTTTGGTGGGCAGTGTCCTTTGGTTTTGGAGTTGTAGTTCACCTATATCCAGAGAGCACTGTGGACTCAAACAATGATGGATCTGAACCAAACTCTACACGAATACTCAATACGCCCAAATGTGAACACTGGTGGAGTTTGTGGAAAATAGAATCTTGACATTTGGGAGTTGTAGTTGCTGGGATTTGTAGTTCACCTACCATCACAGAGCATTCCGAAGCCCACCAACGATAGAATTGGGCCAAACCTCTCACACAGAACCCCCATGACCACCAGAGTGGGCCACAGCAATGCCTGGCAGGGGACGGCTACTAATAAAGTAAAATAATAAATGTAATAATACTAATAGAGTAAAATTATAAATATATTACATATAGTAATAATAGAGTAAAATAATAAATAACCTTAACTCGAGTATAAGCCGAGGGGAACTTTTTCAGCTCAAAAAATGAGCTGAAAAACTAGGCTTATACCCGAGTATATACAGTAAGCTTCGGCTAGTAACGTTCCCTAGCTCTGGAAACTCCTAGCATTTCGAAAGAACAGTGCAAGACTTGGCGTATTTTGTCCTCACCCAGTTTAGCAGCTCCAGTTTCCTTGGATCAGTTTCCTCCTCCGGCTCTTCCTTTTGCTTCCCACCCTTCTTCTTCCCTTTGCCTTTCCCTCTTCCTCCTTTCGCCGCAGGCGCCGGAGACTTCTTCTCCTTTTCGGGGGCCGTCCCGTCTCCAGCTGCAAGGCTTCCCAAAGGCTGCAGTTGGGAGAGAAGAAAATGGGGGCTGAGTGGCCCAAGACACTCCAAAGCGCATTGGGAAATCCCGTTAAGACACTGGGCACCAATCACAATCTGAATGCACAAGTAAACAGAGACCCTAAGGCAGTGCTTCTCAACCTTCCTAATGCCGCGACCCCTTAGTACAGTTCCTCATGTTGTGATGACCCCCCAACCATAATGTTATTTTCGTTGTTACTTCACAACTGTCATTTTGCTCATGTTATGAATCGCAATTTAAATATCTGATATGCAGGATGTATTTTCAGTCACTGGGCCAAATTTGGCACAATACGCCCAATACGCCCAAATTTGAATACTGGTGAGGTTGGCGGTGATTGATTTTATCATTTACTTGAGTTGTTGGGATTTATGCTTCACCCAAAATCAAAGAGCCTTCTGAACTCCACCAATGATGGAATTCAATCAAACTGGGCACACAGAATTCCCATGACCAAGAGAAAATACTGGGAAGGTCTGGTGGGCTTTGACCTTGAGTTTTTTGGAGTTGTAGTTCACCTACATCCAGAGAACACTGTGGACTCAAGCAATATTGGATCTCGATCAAACTTGGCACAAATACTCAATATGCCCAAATGTGAACACTGGTAGAGTTTGGAGAAAATAGACCTTGCCATTTGGGAGTTGTAAATGTTGCGATTTATAGTTCACCCACAATGAAATAGCCTTCTGAACCTCACCGATAGAATTGGACCAAATTTTCCAAACAGAACCCCCATGTGGCCATGTTCTAGAGGCATTTCTCCTGACGTTTCGCCTGCATCTATGACCTCACCCTCTGAGGATGCTTGCCATAGATGCAGGCGAAACGTCAGGAGAAATGCCTCTAGAACATGGCCATATAGCCCGAAAAAACCCACAAGAACTGAGTGATTCCGGCCATGAAAGCCTTCGACAATACATAGAACCCCCATGATCAACAGAAAATACTATCTTTTCTAATGGTCTTTGGCGATACCTCTAACACCCCCTCACAACCCCCACAGTGGTCCCGACCCCCAGGTTGCGAAACACTGCCCTAAGGCAAAATTAGATACCAGAGTTGCATCGGGGCCCCGGGCGTTTTCAAGAATGCGAGGGCACACTACAGCAACACCACCAATAAATACTGTCAGACCTTCTCAACCTCTGAGGATGCTTGCCATAGATGCAGGCGAAACGTCAGGAGAAATGCCTCTAGAACATGGCTCTATAGCCCGAAAAAACCCACAAGAACCTAATACTGTCATCAATAAATACAAAATAAATAAATATAATTTTAACTAATTTTCTAATTATAAAGTCATTTCCAGTTTTGGGATTGCTAAGAATGGTATTGTTCTCCACTCTGGGGGCCAAAAAGATTGGCCTTAAGTGAGACAAGACTTAGGCTGGATCCGCAGCAGGTCTTCTCCAATTCTTGGTTGACATTCTTCAGCTACTGAGAGTCAGAAATGTGATCAATTTATAAAAGCTCATGCAGATTGGTAGAGAGTTTCAAGGACAGAGAGTTTCATGTATGCTGACGATCATGCCATCACTGCCCAAGCAGGGAGCTTTGAATTATTATTATTATTATTATTATTATTATTATTATTATTATTATTATTATTATTATAGCCAGAATTGAAAAGTCAAAAACAGATCCCAAGTGTAGACTCTGCAAGGAAGCAGATGAAACAACAGATCACATCCTGAGGTGCTGCAAGAAGATCGCGCAGACAGACTATAAGCAGAGGCACAACACTGTTGCTCAGATGATTCATTGGAACTTGTGCCACAAACATCATCTGCCTGCGATAAAGAACTGGTGGGATCACAAGCTGAGAAAGGTTACAGAGAATGAACACGTCAAACTCCTCTACGACTTCCGGATTCAGACAGAGTTTTGGAGCATAATACTCCTGACCTGAGAATTGTGTTAAAAAACAAAGTATGGATCATTGATCCACATCGTTTACAGAAAACACACACACAGAGATAGATATCTACATAAAAACCCCAGCCATCACCCAAGTCAAAAAAGAAGCCCCATTAAAGCCTTGGCAGACCGTGCAAAAAGAATCTGCGAAGCCCACCTCCTCCAAGATGAACTGAACCACCTCAACTGGGATCTCCAGGCCAATGGAGACTCCACATCAGATATCAGGAGAGCTGCAAGACCAAGAACAAGCCACGAGAGTCAAGATGAAGATCCACCCAGAGGAAAAGTGTTCTTGCCATACATCAAGGGAACCACTGACCACAGAGGGAAGCTGATGAGGAAACACAACATACAAACTATCTACAGACCCACCAAGAAAATCCAACCAATGCTATGTTCAGCAAAAGACTCACTTCTGCAGGACTCTACCATATACCATGCAGCTGTGGACAAGTCTACACACGGACCACCAAACGCAGCGCTCAAACACGAATCAAGGAACATGAAAGGCACTGCAGACTCCTTCAACTCAAGAAGTCAGCCATAGCAAAGCACCTGATGAACCAACCTGGACACAACATATTATTTGAGAACACAGAAATGCTGGAACACTCTCGCAACCACCATGTCAGACTACACAGAGAAGCCATTGAAATCCACAAGAAGCATGTGGACAATTTCAACAGAAAGGAAGAAACCATGAAAATGAACAAAATTTGGCTACCAGTATTAAAAAAACTCTAAAATTGCAACAGCGCAACAACAGAGAGGAAACAAACAAGGACATCTAATCACCTCTCAACAAAAGTTTGCTCCAGGCACTGTCAGTTGAAACATTCACACCTAGCTCCAGCAGACAAGAGTCCTTTGTCTCACCCTGGTCATTCCACAGATATATAAACCCTTTTTCCTAGTTCCAACAGACCTCATAACCTCTGAGGATGCTTGCCATAGATGCAGGCGAAACATCAGGAGAGAATGCATCTAGACCATGGCCATATAGCCCGAAAAAACCTACAACAACCCATTTTATTTAGGTTTGTCTTGAGGGGGCGTGTTCAAGTCTTAGAGGGAAAATCAGAAGGCTAGGATTGGCTAGAAAGATGGGGGCAGAGCCTAAGTGATCTAGAGGGGAAAAAATGTCCTTTTAAACAGAGGCTTGAAGTCCCAGTTTAGTCAGTTAGGATTTGGAGCTGTTAGAGAGCAGTTAGGGCTTGGTGTTAGTGAGAGCGAGTTTGGGTTTAGAGAAGAAGATTGGGTTAGTCTTTTGTGAAGTATTCAGAGTAGCTATTAAGTAAATAGCTAGAATATGGTTGTGGAGCAGGGCCCAGTTAGTGGACTGTTCAATTCCTAAGGAAGTCTAGTTCAGGGTATTTTTGGCTAGATTCCTGGGGGGCATTTTTGGGAATTACTTTCAGAGATTCATTTCCTGAAGTAATTCTCTGTGGTGGAACCTTGAAGACTTGTAACCCAGAAGATTTTTTTAAGATTTTGACTCTAATGAAACCACAAGCTTCTCATGCCAGTATTTTACTGAAATCATTAAGCATTTGTACCTGAATATTTCAAGCCTGTTCAAAAAACATTCTAGTTCTTTTATTCAACTTATACCAGCCTCAGTGTGAATAACTTTGTGGTCTAAGTATATCTAAAATCAGCTTCACAGCAGCCTCTAAGAAACTATAGTGGCACAGTGTGTGTTTCAGAACAAACTCTCAATATTACCTCAGCCTGATTAATATGGAAATGGTGGCAGCGGAATTCATTTGAAGAATCATTTTAAGTCTCTCAGTTCTAGTGTTTCCCAGTTCCTACCTGTTTTACAAATATAGATATTTAAATATACAGTTGGTTCAGCAACCATACTTCCTCATCCTTTTGACAGCCTCATATTTTTGATGAACAGTTCGTTCATATATATTTTTTAGGGCTGGGCGGTTTCGTTCGTTAATTTCGTAATTCGTTAATAATTCGTTATTTTTCTTGATAACGAAGCGATAACAAACCATTCAGGAGCAACTAAAAAACGAAACGAATTTTTAAAGCTATTTCATAATTGTTTTGTAATTGTTTCGTTATTATTTCCGTATGTCTGGTGCAAGTTTTATAGTTGTTTCCCTCCCCTCTCCCTGGTTGCAAGCGGTCGGCATTTACCCCACTTCCGGGTCCCTGGCCTCTGCTTAAGTGGATCAAATTCTCCTCTCCTCCTGTCGTCACCTCACCTCGTTCCTCACTCTGGCCTGCGTGCATTGGGCAAAGAGACACAGCAGTGCAGCACTCAGAGACCTGCCTGTTGCCTGCCTAACCTCTTTCCTTCTCCAGGTTAAAACTATTATATTTATTATTATTATTATTATTATTATTATTATTATTATTATTAAGAATGGATGGCCATCTTTCAGTAGTGCTTTGACTGTGCCTTACAAGCACGAAGGCAGAAAGTGGTTTGTTATTATTATTATTATTATTATTATTATTATTATTATTGAGAAGCATTGTCAAACCAGAATAGAGATCTCACCCCTCCTCTCTCTCTCTTTCCCCCCTCTTTCCTTCTCCGAGGTTAAAACTATTATTTAAAACTATTATTTTCACGTTGCGCAACCGCGTCCGCCATTTTAACGAATTGATTCGTTAATATTAACGAAATTTCGTAAATATCAAACTTTTTAAAAGGAAAATTTCGGAATTCTTTTAAATATCGAAATGCAAAAAACCCCAAAAAACGAATCGATTTTAGAAATAAATTTTTCCGTTGTTACCCAGGCCTAATATTTTTAGGTGGTGCCTGTGTTGTGTGCTGATGGTGTGTGCATTATAATTTTGGCTGAACAGCGTTGGGATTATTTTATATATTTCCCTGTCTGTAAATTAATCAAAATCTTACATCGTTGCTTTATACATGCCCAGTGTGGAATACATCTCACAATGCTAAAACAGTGGGTGTGGCTCTTAATGAGATATGCCTCATTATCACAGGATGTCTACGCCCTACACCACTGGAGAAATTATACTGTTTAGCTGGTATTGCATCTCCTGATATTCACTCGGAAGTAGCAGCCAATAATGAAAGGACCAAAGCAGTGACATCTTCGGCCCATTCCCTGTTTGGATATCAGCCAGCACATCAGTGCCTTAAATCAAGAAATAGTTTTCTAAGATCTACAGAGATACTCACAGGAACACCTCAGCAAGCGAAAGTCCAAAGGTGGCAGGCTAAAACCCAGAACCTCAAGCTTTGGCTGAGACCAAATGAGATACTTCTTCCTGGGCAGACAGAAAACTGGGAGATTTGGAAGGCTCTGAACGGACTGCGTTCTGGCATCACAAGATGCAGAGCCAACCTTAAGAAATGGGGCCATAAAGTGGAGTCCATGACATGTAAGTGTGGAGAAGAGCAAACCACAGACCGCCTATTACAATGCAGCCCTGCCACATGCACAATGGAGGACCTTATAGCAACACTCCAAGTGGCCAGCTACTGGTCAAAGGACATTTAATAGAATACCAAGTCTGCAAACTTTGTGTTTTGTTTATTTGTTTGTTTTTTAATGCAATAAAACTGTTTTGGTTCACTCCTGACTCGATAAATAAATAAATAAATGCCTTAAATCACGAAATAGTTTTCTAAGATCTATAGAGATACTCGCAGGAACACCTCAGCAAGCAAGAGTCCAAAGGTGGCAGGCTAAAACCCAGAACCTCAAGCTTTGGCTGAGACCAAATGAGAGACTCCTTCTCTCATCTGGGCAACTTGGAAGGCTCTGAACAGACTGCGTTCTGGCATCACGAGATGCAGAGCCAACCTTAAGAAATGGGGCCACAAAGTGAAGTCCACGACATGTAAGTGTGGAAAAGAGCAAACCACAGACCACCTATTGCAATGCAGCCTGAGCCCTGCCACATGAACAATGAAGGACTTTGTAGCAACACTCCAAGTGGTCAGCTACTGGTCAAAGGGCATTTAAATACATTACAACTGTACTCTCGATTAGCTTCTGATACGATAAATTAATAAAACCAGGAAAATAAGACTCTGACTATAAGTAGAAGGTCAACTGCTGTCATCACCTTTTTGTCTTGTTTTTTTTACTCGTGTTCTACGTATTTTGAAATGGTCACATGACCGGTAAAATAAATTTCATTATTTATTTTATTTACTGTATTTGTATACCGCCTTTCTCAGCCTATTGGCGACTCAAGGCGGTTTCCAACAAAACAGTATACATAATATCATAATACAGATTAAAACAGTATAAAACACAACAAAGGCAATAAAAAAACATCATTAACGTCTCCTTATTATCAAGCATTGTCCAGTTCCATCGTCAAGTCGTTAGATTTCCTATATCAATTACTCTGCATTTGTAAACGCTTGCTCAAATAGCCATGTTTTAACGTTAACAGGGAGGGAGCAGATCTAATCTTCCTAGGGAGGGCGTTCGATAGCCGAGGGGCCACCGCTGAGAAGGCCCCGTCTCTCGTCCCCGCCAGACATACTTGTGACAAAGGCGGGACCAAGAACAGGGCCTCCCCGGACGATCTCAAGGTCCTTGATAATAATTATTATTATTATTAAATAACTAAATATGCAGACTGGCTTGGTCTTTATAGTTTAGAAACAATATGAGAATGCTGAATGTTTTCACACACAAAATGAAATAATTATGACTGCTTTTTGTTAAAAAAGGGATCCAACAATTTCTCCAAGGAAATGGTTACCGACCGGCCAGTGGTGTCCGAAGACAAAGATCTGGCTCCGTGCGATGTCCACTCGATTCCAGGCCAAGGCTAAACTCAACTGATCTGGTGCGGATGCGTTGGTCCCTAAGGAAGCAAAGGAAGGGTCGATACTTATTCCGTAATGGGAGACAGTTTCAACTTTCAAGCAAATCAATGCACAAAATAAGAAGGAAAAGAAAACCAACCAGGGGACGTTATGCAATTATAGCATAGTGATCGTTCCTTAACTGTTGTGGATTTATTTTATGGAATCCTGGGATTATTGTCCCAGGATGAGACATTTGACCTCTCAAGATGAGAATTCTAGCAAGTAGAAAAGCTTCCCAGGAAAGGGCAGCATTGGAAATTTTATTTATTTATTTATTTATTTATTTATTTATATTATTATTATTTACCCCACTCTCACCCTCCACCCTTTCCCCTTAGACATACTCTTATATCTATCTATATAAATAAAAATGTAATGTTCGTTTGTGGGATTAACATAACTCAAAAACCACTGCGGGAATTGACACCAAATTTGGACACAAGACACCTCTCAGGCCAACGAGTGACCATCATTCATAAAAACATGGAAAACATGGCAGAAGGGACTTAAAAAGCCAAAAATTAAAAAAATACATTATAACACATGTGCAAAACTACATATATACACATATACACAGGCTTTGCCACAGCAACGCATGGCAGGGGATGGCTAGTCTTCTATATAAACAAAAATGTAATGTTCATTTGTGGGATTAACAGAACTCAAAAACCAGTGGACAAATTGACATCAAATTTGGACACTACATCCCTAACAGACCAACGAGTGACCATCACTCACAAACCCCTCCCCCCCCAAATGGAAAGGACTTAAAAACCCAAAAAAGCTAAATGATGATACAGTGCATGCACACAAACAACAGCTCCCAGCATCCCCCAGACCAGGTCCTTTAGGGGAGGAGGATGCTCAAATTCAGTGCTTCCAAGCTGCAAGCTTTCTTCTCCTTGGATTTCTTTGAGAGCATCCCAATCCGTACATATTTCCTATTTCCTATTCTTGGACTGCAACTCCCAGCAATCCTCCAAATAGATAGATTAGATAGAGGTAGGTAGGTAGGTAGGTAGGTCGATCAGGAGAACTGCTGGGAGTAGTAGTCCAAGAATAGGTAGATAAGGAAGAAAGGAGAGAAAGAGGAAGTGAAAGAAAAGATGGGATGTGGAAGGGAAGAAGAAGAGAAAGAAGAAAGGAGAGGAAGAAAAAGGAAGAGAAAGGAAAGAAAGAGGTAGAGAAGGAAGGAAGGAAGGAAGGAAGGAAGGAAGGAAGGAAGGAAGGAAGGAAAAAAGAAAAGGAAGGAAGGAAGGAAGGAAAGAGGGAGGGAAGGAAGGAAGGAAGGAAGGAAGGAAGGAAGGAAGGAAGGAAGGAAGGAAGGAGAGAAAGAGCGAGGGAAGGTTGGCCACATGTTACGCCAGCTTCACTGGCTGCCAGTTTGCTACTGAGCACAATTCAAAGTGTTGGCTTTGGCCTATAAACAACAACAACAACAACAACAACAACAACAACACTTTATTTATATACCGCTCTATCTTCCCCAAGGGGACTCAGAGTGGTTTCCAAGAAACATAAACAATACATACAAGAAAAAAACGGCATAAACATAAAATTAACAAGACAATATAAGCATTAAAACCACATATAAAGCCCTAAACGGCCCAATTTACCTGTCCAAACGCAACTCCCCCTATGAACCACCATGGAGATTAAGATCTACAGAGATACTCACTGGAACATCTCAGCAAGCAAGAGTACAAAAGTGGCAGGCTAAAAGTGGCAGGCTAAAACCCAGAACCTCAACGCCGCCTTGAGTCGCCTTCGGGCAGATATAGGCAGGGTAGAAATAGCGTAAATAACTAAATAAAAAAATAAACCAGTGGCTGGTATCAAATGAGAGACTCCCTCCTGGCACACAGAAGACTGGGCGACTTGGAAGGCACTGAACAGACTGTGCTCTGGCACCACGAGATGCAGAGCCAACCTTAAGAAATGGGGCTACAAAGTGGAATCCTCGACATGCGAGTGTGGAGAAGAGCAAACCACTGACCACCTGCTGCAATGCAATCTGAGCCCTGCTACATCCACAATGGAGGAACTCCATTTATAGCAACACCAGAGGCACTCACTCAAGTGGCCACCTACTGGTCAAAGGACATTTAACATAATGCCAAATTTTTAAACTTTCTAGTTTTTAAATACATTAAAATTGTACTCTCAGTTCACTTCTGACATGATTGATAAATAAATAAATAAATAAATAAATAAATATGCAGACTGGCTTGGTCTTTATAGTTTAAAAACAATATGAGAGGGCTGAATGCTTTAATTTGCCATATTATTTCCAGTTTATTCTCATTGTCTGAACTTAATTTCTTCTTTCCTTTTTTTCCCAGACTCTTATTGTTCCTTTAAATGGTTCCTTACATTCTGTTTCCCCTCTCCCATTCCATTCATTAAATATTGGGTTGTTGTAAGTTTTTCGGGCTGTCTGGCCATGTTCCAGAAGCATTCTCTCCTGACGTTTCACCTGCATCTATGGCAGGCATCCTCAGAGGTTGTGAGGTCTGCTGGAAACTAGGAAAATAGGGTTTATGTATTTGTGGAATGATGTCCAGGGTGGGAGAAAGAACTCTTGTCTGCTTGAGGCAGGTGTGAATATTGCAATTAGCCACCTTGATTAGTATTGTAGCTTCAAAGGCTGTCTGCTTCCTGCCAAGGGGAAACTAGGAAAATTGAGTTTATGTATCTGTGGAATGTCCAGGGTGGGATATTATATATCTTTCTCTCACCCTGGACATTCCACACAAGTATATAAACCCAATTTTCCTAGTTTCCAGCAGACCTCACAACCTCTGAGATTTCTTGCCATAGGTGCAGGCAAAACGTCAGGAGAGAATGCTTCCAGAACATGGCCAGACAGCCCGAAGAACTCTCAACAACCCAGTGATTCCAGCCATGAAAGCTTTCGAATCACATCTTTAAATATCATTTCTTTTTCTTTAATATTATTTATTATTTTTTCCATATTTACTAGGCATGGGCAATCCTTGGTTCTAAATGTTTCTAAAGTACTTACAAAACTAGGGGGCGCTGATGCTTTGCTTCTACAGTGTTGCTAAAGTTCTGGTGGTGAAAATTTCAGAACTCTTAACAAAACTTTCAACATTTTGTTATAAATGGCAGTTCCTAATTGGTTCTGTCATAAAAATTGCCAATAATGAAATAATAATGAATTTTTGAAAGTTTTGTTTGAGTTCTGAAATTTTCACCACCAGAACTTTAGCAACACTTTAGAAGCAAAGCACCAGCGTCCTCTAGTTTTGTAAGTACTTTAGAAACATTTAGAACCATGGATTGCCCATGCCTAATATTTACCCATTTTTTCTTAGTATACTGTATTTCTAACAGTCTTTAAATTTGAAACAAATCAAGGTGCTGTATTGGAAATGTTGATGCTCCAAATGCTCTGATAGTCTCTATACTAAGGGAGCCCCATTTAAGAATTCATACTTGGTCCAGTATTCATATTGTTAACGAAATAAATATGCAGACAGAGAGAGCCATCTTTTTGCAGTTTCTACATCATTGCTTGGATGACTCACCTTTAAGCAATGCCGTCAAGATAGACATCTCAATATCTTGTTGTCCCTCGGATCCCATGCGGAACACCGTGATCTTAACAGACACAAAGAAGAAAAAGCGTAAGAGGTTGCTCCAATTTCCCCAATCCCATTGTTGAAGAATTTTGTTCAACTCTGCAGCCCATGTCTTAGTTTTGAAAAGCATATGCATGCACCCAATAATGCAAGGAAAACAATATTGACAACTTGATTGCACTCTTAGCTTGAAGTCAAACATGACCCCCCCCCCATAAGAGATAGTAACTTACAGTTTTGCTAAGGGCAAGGACACCAGACTGGATAATAAGGGTTAAGCCTTGGTCAGTTTGGTGTGTATCATTTAATCAAGGCTTTATGCCCTATTAGCAGGAGGTAACCAATTTATTACTGAAAATCATGCCACAAAAGTATTTGACTTTTTCCATCTGAGACACACCTGGGCTCCTGATGGTCCCCCATCTCACAAACAAGGGACTCTCTTTCCCCCTCCTGGATATATTTCCCTTTATGGACCTTCCTATAAATAATATGAACTATGGACACCGGGGGAGGGTAGTTGGGTTTACTCTCTGTATTATGACTTCTATATTTTCATATTTTCTCCTGTGTATGTAACCTTCTCCTGACCCTTTCTGCCCCATTCCCTTTGCTGGAAAAATGTATAAGGAAGTTGCCTTGCCCCTGAAAAGAAAAGCAATTAGCAATTGTGGAAACCCTTATCTAAGGACATTTCTTGCATGGAAAAATAACAAAGAAATATCTCTCTAATTTCAGAGGATTTGACCATCAGGGAGATAATCGCTTGGCAGACTTTTAATCATATTACAATGGGAGGAAAGAGGACCTTCGGAAAGTCCTCCCCCCCCCCCCCCCCCCGACCTGTTTCTTTTCAAGCCTTTCCATTGAAGACATTCATCAAAGTCTTCCTTTGTGCCCCTGTCTGACTGCAAGAGGAAACCCAGATTAAGTGTTTGTTGTTCATTCGTTCAGTCGTCTCCAACTCTTCGTGACCTCATGGACCAGCCCATGCCAGAGCTCCCTGTCGGCCGTCACCATCCCCAGCTCCTTCAAGGTCAGTCCAGTCACTTCAAGGATGCCATCCATCCATCTTGCCCTTGGTCGGCCCCTCTTCCTTTTACCTTCTACTTTGCCCAGCATAATTGTCTTCTCTAGGCTTTGCTGTCTCCTCATGATGTGGCCAAAGTACTTCAACTTTGTCTCTAGTATCCTTCCCTCCAGTGAGCAGTCGGGCTTTATTTCCTGGAGGATGGACTGGTTGGATCGTCTCGCAGCCCAAGGCACACTCAGCACTTTCCTCCAACACCACAGCTCAATTAAGTAGTCAGTGCTTATCTCAGATCAACCACGACACAATAGACAGGTTTCGCTTGAAGGCCATTTAGGACTCGCTGAGCCACATGGACATTTCCTGTGACTCCATAATCCATTCAAGAATGCATTTTATTCCCTTGTCCCACCTCCCTCCCTCCTGATTTGTCGACGCGCCAAGGCAGCGTCTGACCTCACCTCTGAGGATGCTTGCTATAGATGCAGGCGAAACGTCAGGAGAAATGCCTCTAGAACATGGCCATATAGCCCGAAAAAAACCCACAAGAACTTAATCCAGTACCTGCCGTATACCAGTACTGCCATCTGTTGAGGAGTTACGAAGGTGGAGGCATTACTTTTCATTCAACCCTCATACACTCCCCTCTGGCACAGAAATATCAGTGAAACGAAAGGAAAGTGGGAATTGTAACGGTTCGGTTGACTGATTTTTGACGCTCAGCTGCTTGCCCTGGCAGGTGCTGGTGCTTTGGGCCTGGAGGCCACACACGGACTCTCCTTGGAAAGAGAGTGTATGTTTGGCCTGCTGACCCAAAGCGCCAGTGTCTGACAGCACCTGCCCTGCAGCCGAGGGCTGAGTAAGAGGCGCTCAGTGCTCTGGCAAGTGGGTGCTTTGGGCTGCGACGCGCCGTCAACGACATGGAGCACTCTAGCCCTGTACCAAGGAATCTCACTGTGAGTCTGCCCCTAGCTCCAATGAAGAGACCACAGCAGTGGCGCAAGGTAGGTTTCCCGATTGGAGGGGAAAACGCCAGGGAGAAATCACGGCGGAGCTAGCTAGTTTCACACCTCTAGTCCTAAAACTAAGGGGAAGGCGAGCATGGGAAGCTTGCCCATTGCCGCAAACAGGACGAAAATTTGTTTTTTTTCGGACCTGGTACAAAAAAAAGCTCATTTGGAAAGCTGCCCGTTTTCAGGAGAGGTGCTCAAAAACTAAAACAAGGCCTTACGAATGAAACAAACAAATGGATATTGATTCTATACAAACACACAAGACTACTCTGTAATAATACAGACATGGCTGTGACTGGTGTAAGCTTCATTGTGTTTTTATGGTATTCACTCTTTGTCTTTTGCACTTGAAGCAGTTTACTTCCCTCAATGTTGGTTCTTGACTGCCTTTTCCATCATCTGCCAGTGCATGTTTCTCTTCTTCTCCCGTTTGTTTCCCTTGCAGAAGCCCTCTTCTCTCTGCCTCTTGATCTTCTGGGCAGGTAAAGTCTGTCGACGTCACTACGTGGGTGTCATGTGTAGTGGATTGTCCTCAGTTTTCTTGTTTTTCCGTCCAGATCATCCAGCTCTGCTTGTGTCCAATTCACAATCCCAGCAGTGTATCTAATAACGGGGACAGCCCAGGGGTTGAGAGCCTTGATCGTATTTCCGCCATTTAATTTGCTCTTCAAAACCTTTCTGACTCTTTGGATATATTCTTTGCTGACCAGATTTTCCACATCCCCATGCTTGATATTGTCCAATTGTAGTATGCCCAGATATTTATAGGCTTCAGGCTGATTGCACTTTATGGTTTGTCCGTTTGGCATCTCTATGCCCTTGCTTAGTGTAATTTTCCTTTCTTTATTGCAACTGTGGCACATTTGTCTAGGCCCCTGATGGCGAACCTATGACACGTGTGTCAGCACCGACACGCGTAGCCATTTTCAATGACACGCAGCAGCATGCAGCCGCATACGGAGAAGTATGGGGCTGCATGCCAGGTGCAGTAGCCGAGGATGAAACATTTGCTGTAATGTATTGTAGTCACTCTGTACCGGAGGTCTTTAGGCCAATACAACAAACTCCGGCACAGAGCATCTAGGTCTGGGACTTCCAGTTAGGCTGTTAGAGAATCTTTGATCTTACTTCCGGCCAGTGGAGCAGGGAGCAGCGCAATGCTGCGGGGGATGCATCTCTGGGGGCCCTGTGATCACCATTACCAGCAACCACATAACCACAGCAACCATCACCCAATCTACTGTTCTGGGGTGTCGTGGATTTCTAATTGACCATCATTACTGAGATAAGTGAGGAGGAAGCTGGAAGAGGCAAGGGCCTGTGCTATGGGTACCTTTTCCCACCATTAGAAATAGCGGTAGCCATCTTAATTTACATAAACAACACAATCTTGCAGCATAGTACAGACTCCGGTTCACCACTATTACTGTTGTGCATCCTTATGAACCCCTATTTCTGCCCTTTCCTAAAAGACAGTTACATATGCCATCTTGTGTTCAGTTAGGCTAGTTATCCCCTAATTGCCTAAAATTATACTGTATATTGCCATTATACATTTTTGTTATTTAAACTTTAAATATCGTGAAATTATGGGGGGGTTTTTCCCTCAAAGTGACACACTACCCAAGTTATGCTCAGTTTTTGGGTGAATTTTGACACACCAAGCTCAAAAAGTTGCCCATCACTGGTCTAGGCCAAACTCCATACTGATGTCAGTGCTAAAGATTCTGACTGTGTTGGTCAGTGACTCAATTTCAGTTTCTGATTTTCTGTAAAGCTTTAGATCATCCATGTACAGTAAGTGGGAAATTTGGGTGAATTTCTTGCTGTTTGGTAGCCTAGGTTTGTTTTCTGTAGAATTACTGACAGTGGGATCATTGCAATGATGAACAGCAGTGGTGACAGTGAGTCACTCTGGAAAATTCCTCTCTTGATGTTAATAGTTCCATAGCTTTCTTTGCCCACAAACAACTCAGTTTTCGATTGTTTCATTGCATTTTCGGTGAACTTTCTAATATTTTCACAAACCCCGATGACATCTAGACATTTGATAATCCAACAATGTGGCAGTGAGTCAAATGCTTTTTTTGTAACCAATCCAAGTTGTATAGAGGTTTGTTTGGTGGCTTTTGCAATTTTCCAGTATCATTTTGTCAATTAGAAGTTGATCTTTCATGCCCCTACTTCTTCTTTTATTGCCTTTTTGTTCTACTGGCAAGATGCTATTTTCCTCCAAGTAATCCTGGATTTGATCAGCTATTATTCCTGTTAGCAGTTTGAACATTGTAGGCAGACATGTTATTGGCCTGTAGTTTCCTGGTATTATCCTTTTTGCTGGATCTTTCTGTATCAAATATGTCTTCCCAGTTGCTATCCATTTGCTGATGTTTCCAGTTTGCAGCATCTCATTGAATTGTTCGGTCATTTTTGAGTGCAGACTAATCAGATATTTAAGCCAAATCCGTGCAGTTGATCATTGCCAGGTGATGTCCAGTTCTTGACTTTCTTCACTCTTTCAGTGATCATTTCTGTTGTTATTTCCAAGGTTCTCATTTTGTTCTCTAAAAAATTATTTTCAAATTCTTTTATCCACTCAGCTTTTTTGTTGTAACCCTTTTCTGTTTCCAACAGATCTTCCTAGAATGCATTTGTAGCTGTTTTTTCCTGGTTTTTCATTTTTCACAGCCACCTGCTGATTCAGACTCAGGTAGAACCGCCTCTGATCAGATTGGATGAATTGATTTTGTTTAGCTTCATATCGCTCAGTTTTTCTGGCTGTTGCCATGATTTGTTGTTTCACAACTTCAAGATCTTCTTCAAATTTTCTTGTATTCAGCCAATATTTTTAATCAAGTTATTCTTTATTTTGACATTCTTTAGTTTTTGCTCCTTTAGATTGCTTGCATCTGATCGTAGGCTCTTATTATTATTATTAATAAGCAAGAAGCTTAGGGATAATAATAATAATAATAATAA